TATTACAAAAGCTATCTTCTTCAAAGCCTTTCCCAATCTTCTCGATATCTGATCTTAAATATCTCTGATAATATCCCTTTAGTAGCTTATTATTTTAACATGAGTTACAAGTATAAGCAGCCATTATTTGTGAGGATACATACAAATTTTGCATAAGGCAAGCTTCTCCATAATTACCTGCTGAACAAGTGAACCATTAAATTGTTAGTTCTTAAGAATCAGGACTAAGTCTTAAGCATGCATTTATTCAACATATATGTGCTAGATACTATGCAAGGTAGTACAGATAAAAATGGAGTTTATATTTTAAAGAGGAACGAGAATACGGGAGGAAGAAAGGAGGAAAGGAAAGAGAAGCAGTAACAATAGTGTTGATAGTGGTGATGGTGGTGACAGAGACCATACCTGGACTGCAAAACCTAAAATTGTAAGGCTGTTTGCAGAAAATGTTTACTGACTTCTGAACTAAAGTAAAATTCTAAATGAAATTTTAAAAAATTCTTAAATAAAAAAGCAAAATCGTTAAAGTAAAAAAGGAACATTAAATATATTGGAGATACAGATTATTCTTAAAATTACACCCAAACCAACCGCCTTAAACTGCCACTGGTTATCTAAATTGACATTTCAAATTTAACATGTCTAAAACAAAACTCCTGATTTTGATACACCCACTCTCTCCCCATCCTGTGGAGTCTGAGTTTTCCTCTTCTTCGTAAAAAGCATCATTCACTTAGTTTCTAAGACTTAAAATTGAGGAGTCACTTTTGATTAACTTCTCTTCCACCTCACAATCTTATTTAAATTTAAGTTTTGTGAGCACCACCTTCTAAAATATTCCAAATCCAACCACTTTCACCAGAAACACTGCAAAACTTTCTAACTGGACTCCTGATTCAAACACACTTGCCTTTCCTAGTTTTCCACCTAGATCTCCACACATAGAGTATAGTGAAGCTTTTAAAATGTCAATGCAGATCACATCTCTCCTGTACGTGTTTCTATAGGTTTCCCATCTCACCAAAAAGTTATAAAAAACTATAGTTTTGACTACATAAACATGAAAACCTTCTCAACAAACAACTACTAATAAACAATAAAACTATTATTTAACGTTGTTCTGGAAGTTCCAGACAAAATTAGACAAGTTAAAAGGAAGGAAGGCCACAGATAATTAGTGCAGTGAAGACCAGAGTTGGGGCAGGAGCCAGGTGGAGAGGGGCAAAAGGTATGATGGACACCTGTAATACCCTTAACAATAAAAATAAATTTTAAAAACTGGGAAGAGTCCTAATCGGTTTGGTTCAGTGGACAGGGTGTCAGCCTGCGGACTGAAGGGTCCCAGGTTTGATTCCAATCAAGGGCCTATACCTTGGTTGCAGGCATATCCCCAGTAGGGGGTGTGCAGGAGGCAGCTGATCGATGTTTCTCTCTCATCAATGTTTCTAACTCTCTATCCCTCTCCCTTCTTCTCTGTAAAAAATCAATAAAATGTATTAAAAAAAACTGGGAAGATATAAAACTTAAAAATCAATTACTTGCAGATGATAAATAAAAAAACAAAAGGAAACTCAATTACAATACTGAAGATTAAAGTGAAGACAGCTGAAAAAAGTCTATAAACAGGTGAATTTAAGATGGCCTACAACAAATTCATACACAATAAATGCTGTACATAAACCACCAGTTAGGAAACATAATTGTAGAAAAGATTCCATTTATGATACCAATTATGAAAATAAAATTCCTAGAAATAATCTTAAGAAATGCTTAAAATTCACAATATTCAAATGAAAACCTCAAAGTGAAAAACACAAAAAGATTGGTCTTCTATAAATAAAGAGACAGATCCTGTTCTTATACAGGTAAATTCAATACAATGTCAATTTTTCTATATCAACCATAAATTTAATACAACCCAAATTTTAAAAAGTAACAGAATTTAAATTTTTGAAAGAATGAGACAAATTGATTCTAAAGTTCACGTGAAAAATAAATAGCCAGGAAAATTATGAGGAGTAATAAGAAAATGGGCCATCTCTACAAGATACTAACTATACAACTATGTAATAAGGATATAAGGTTGATGAATGAATGGATGGGTAAAGTGAAACAGGAAGCCCAGAAATAAATACAAATACATACACCAGTTTAGGATGATTCTAGAAAGGAATTTCTAATCAGTAATTTAAAAAAAAGCTAGCCTTGCTCAAGCCAGTTTGGCTCAGTGGATAGAGTGTCGGCCTGTGAACCAAAGGGTCCTGGGCTCGATTCTGGTCAAGGGCATGTACCTTGGTTGCAGGATCCTTCCCAACCAAGGCCCTGGTCAGGGCTTGTGCAGGAGGCAACCAATCGATGTTGTTTCTCTCACTTTAATGTTTTTCTCTGTCTTCCTCTCTCTCTTCCACTCTCCCTAAAAAAATCAATGGAAAAATATCCTCGAGTGAGGATTAAGAACAAAAACAAAACAAAACAAAACTTAGCCAGTTATTAGAACTGGGTAGCTATATAAAAAAGAAATTAACTCCCCATTTCATTCCTTTCACCTCAATAAATCACTTATAGTACAAAATTAGAAGTAAAAACTAAAATAATATAAGTGTAAGAAATCTATGAGTTTTTAAAGTATAATACAAAATCCAAAAGCTATAAAAGATTAGTAAATCTGATTAAATGAAAGTGAAATCTGCTTAGGAAAACAAGCAAAACAAAAGCACAAAGTCAAAAGACAATCAGGGCATGGGCGGTGTGAGGGCCAAAAGGGGGTTAAGGACACATATGTAATACCTTAACCAATAAAGAAAATAAAAAACAAACAAAAAAGACAAACAGATAAAGTACTTGCAATTCACATTACACAGGAATTTATTTTATGGAAAATATTCTACAAATTAGTAAAAAAACCCCACACCTATATAATAAAAAAAAATATGCAAATAGACTGAACAGCAGGACAACCAATCAAAGCATAATAAGCTAATGATATGCTAAGGCAGCTCAACTGCTCGCTATGACATGCACTGACCACCAAGGGGCAGACAGTCAACTGGTCAACCAGTTGCTGTGACGTGCACTGACCACCAGGGGACAGTCGACGGATCGACCAGTCACTATGATATGCACTAACCACAAGGGGGCAGATGCTCTGACCAATAGGTTAGCTTGCTGCTGGGGTCTGGCTGATCGGGACTGAGCAAGATGGGCTGGATGTGCCATGGAGCCCTCCTGCAATCCCTCCCCAGCCCAATCGTGCACCGGTGGAGTCCCTCAGCCTGGCCTGCACCCTCTCGCAATTTGGGACCCCTCAGAGGATGTTGGAGAGCCGATTTCAGCCTGATCCTGCAGGCCACTCCCCTTGGGAGGGCATCAGATGCAGGGCTCATGGCTGGTGAGCACTGCTGCAGCAGTACGAACTTGTCCTGATCGGGACTGATTGGGCGCGAGCCCGCGGCAGGCACAGTGGGGCTGGGATGAGTGGGAGCGGGAGGCAGGAGCTACAGGCAGGAGCTTCAGGCAGCGTTGGACTGTGGGTTTCGGCCCGATCCCTCCAGGCCACCCAGAGAGACCCCACCTGTGCACAAATTTGTGCACCCGGCCTCTAGTTATACACATATTAGGAAAATGAGAAAAAGATTTTAACAGATTAGAGAAAAGGTAACACAGATAAATGGCTTTCAAACACATGAAAAGAAGCTCAACCTCACTACTGTGCTTCTGTTGCACACCAGTTGAAAACACCTATCATGTAGTATAGCTGGGAATATAAAAATGATATAGTCTTTTGTAAAGTTATGTATTCTAATTAATTAAGTTTACTTTAAGAATTTATTACTGGTTTGGTTCAATAGCTGAGCACATATTCGTGTTGGGGGCTCAGTCCCTAATGTGGGGCATGCAGGAGGCAGTGGATCAATGATTCTCTCTCATCATTGACGTTTTTATCTCTCTCCATCTCTTCTTCTCTGAAATCAATAAAAATATATATTTTTTAAAAACATGAAATTATTTCCCTCCTATGTATTTAATTTTTGAAAGATTATTTTTTAATGTATTCATTTTTTAAATGAAGAAAGCAGATCACAGAATGGTGTTTCTATAACATAAATTATATACTTGTGTATTTACTATATCCACAGAAATCCCTGGAATGCCATCATCAAAGCATCATTGGAAAATGAACTATATAAAGGAATCTTCTCTTTCTACTATCTAAAATTTTTGCTTTACAATAATGTTATCAGAAAAATTATTATTTCTACTTTAGAATAATAGTTATATATTGGTTTATATATAAGACTTCAACCAGAAAGATTATGAATCATTCAAATTATTCCCACTGGGTATAATGGAAAAATAATGGAAGGACCCAGAAGAAACAGCACAGGAAGGAGCTTTAAGGAATAGGGGAAGTAACACAGATTTAAGGTAGGTAAGAATGTCACCCTAAGTTCACCTCAAGAATTCTTAGTCAATGCTCATGGGAACAATTTTCCAGCCTGTGTTTTCTGACACAATCAATAACCAACTCTCCAGATCATAAATAACTCCCTCCCTGCAAGAAATGACAAAAGTGCCAATGGAAGAGTGAATAACTCAATCTAAAGAGTAATTAGACATTTGTTGGTTTAGTCATTAAGTGTATCAAATAGATTTTATGTCAAATGGGCCTTTCAAATATAAAACCAGTAAGACAGGTACTCTATAATGACTGGTTATTAACTCCATTGTGTAAGTTACTATTCAAAATACTCAATCCCACAAAACTATACCAATAAAGGTTTTCTCTATATATAGTCATAGAAATTAAAAATTATTTCTGCATTCTAAAAATGAGCCTAAGGTTTATATTTCCAGGGTTCATTTTATTCACAGTTCACTTTTCCTCCCAGCAGTAAAGTTCTAGTAAACTTTACGCTTGTATGTTTAAGGAAATTTTTCATTGCAACAAAAAAAAGTTTCAAACACATTTCACACAGATATTTAGATGTCTTAATACCTACCTGTCCTTCCCTTGAAAATTTAAAGGGTGGTTTGTGTTTAATAACACTTGTTGCAAGCCTGAGGAGTCCTGTAAGCCCATCATCTTCTATGTTGCCATCTTGATGATCAAGGATCTCCCTGCTACAGAGAATACAAGCAAAACAAGATAGTTTACATGATTGTCCTTTTACCTTTCCTCAACCATATAACTGTCAATGTTATATCAAATTTTACCTTCGAATACAGTCAGCCAAATGCCGTGCCAAAGCATCTAAGTCGAGGAGTGTTGTCTTAATACAAAGAGAAAATATAAAATTCAAATGTAAATTTTTATTTAGTAATTCAGAGATTATTAAAACAACATAAAAAATGTTTTCCTTGAAAGTAATAAGAATTTGGTTCTCTTAAATACATGGCTATACCTATTAATTAACTCATTTACTTATATATGTCAAATTAATAATATTATCGTTGTAAACACATCATTGACAGTCCTTCAAAAAAGATACAATGGGCCCTGGCCGTTATGGCTCAGTTGGTTGGAGCGCTGCCCCATACACCAAAAGGTAGCGGGTTCAATTCCCGGGCAGGGCACATAGCCAGGTTTGTGGGTTCAATCCTTAGGCAAGGGGCATGAGGGAGGGAACATATCAATGTTTCTCCCTCTCTCCCTCTCTCAAAAAGATAAATACATACATATATATGTTTATGTATATACATATATATATCAATAAGAATTAAAAAACAAAAGATGCTATGGGATGTCACTAACAAATTATGATTGTCACAGTTATTTATTGAGGAGATACTAAGGTTTCATGTTGTTTTTTATTCTTTAACAATTTTATTAAGATATAATCACATACTGTACAATTCAGCTATTAAGGTTTTTTAACACCACCTTTAAACTAGGCTTTAAAAATAAACTTACATACAGTTAAATAATTTCAAAAAGCTTTAATTACCAATACAACTGAGCAAAAAATTTTAAGATTATATAAACTAGAATTTAATGTTTTAAAAACGTTATGATTTTTAGAAAAATGGTAAGAGAGACAGACACAGAAACATCAATGCTGATCAATGGGGCTGCCTCCTGCACCCTCCTCTGCTGGAGATAGAACCCGCAACCCAGGCATAACATGCCCAAGAATTGAACCAGGGACCTCTTGGTACATTGGTTGATGCTCAAACACTAAGCCACACAGGCTGGGCTAGAACTTAATTTAAGAGGATTCTTAAAGACAATCTCTGTGAAGGAAAATGTTTGGCAAGCAAGAAATATTAGATTCCTACTTTTAATAGGCACCACCAGATTTAAAAAAAACAACGATGTTTATGTGACATCAATATTCTATATAATAAAGCAGTAATATGCAAATTTCCCATTACACCCTCGCACAAAATGGCCCCCATGTGGGCACAAGATGGCCACAAGATAGCTGGCAGGGTAGGGCAGGTGTGGGTGATCATGCCAGCAGGGGAGGGCAGTTAGGGGCAACCAGGCAGGCAGGGGAGGGCAGTTGGGAGCAACCGGGCCGGTAGGGGAGGGTAGCTGGGGGCAACCAGGCCAGCAGAGGATGGCAGTTAGGGGCAACCAGGCCGGCAGGGGAGGGCAGTTAGGGGCAACCAGGCCAGCAGGGGATGGCAGTTAGGGGGGACCAGGTTGGCAGGGGAGGGAAGTTGAGGATGACCAGGCCTACAGCGGAGGGAGGGCAGTTAGGGGCGACCAGGCCGGCAAAGGAGCGCAGTTGAGAGTGACCGGGCCTACAGCGGAGGGCAGTTAGGGGCAACCGGGCCAGCAGGGGAGGGTAGTTGGGGGCGATTGGGCCAGCAGGGGAGTGGTTAGGCGTCGATCAGGCTGGCAGGGGAGTGGTTAGGGGGTGATCAGGCTGGAGGCAGAAGCGGTTAGGGGCAATCAGGTAGGCAGGCAGGCAGGCGAGCAGTTGGGAGCCAGCAGTCCCAGATTGTGAAAGGGATATACGACTGCCCGTTTAGACTAAACCGGCAGTCGGACATCCCCCCAGGGGTCCCAGATTGGAGAGGGTGCAGGCTGGGCTGAGGGACACCCCTCCCCCAATGCACAAATTTCGTGCACTAGGCCTCTATTTTTATGAATAATCAAGCAAATTAAAGCATACTTAATATTAATTTTTACAATTATTTCTCAAATGAAAAGTAGAAAACTTAAGAATTCAAATTAGCCCTACCCGGTTTGGCACAGTGGATAGAGTGTTGGCTGTGGACTAAACGGTCCCAGGTTAGATTCCTGACAATGGCACGTACCTCCATTGCAGGCTGTGGCCCTAGTCAGGGGCATGTGGGAGGCAACCAATCAGTGTGTTTCTCACCACATCAGTATTTCTCTCTATCTTTCCCTCTCCCTTCCACTCTCTCTAAAAATCAATGGAAAAAAATATCTTCGGGTGAAGATTAACCAAAAATTAAAAAAATAAAGAATTCAGATGTAACAGTTTCTTAAAGAGAAGTTCAAACACTACAGGATATTTTGTATGTAAAGTGTATATATTGCACTTTGATCAAAATATATTAAAAAAATCAGAGAAGCTGAAACCGGTTTGGCTCAGTGGATAGAGGGCCTGCGGACTGAAGGGTCCCAGGTTCGATTCCGGTCAAGGGCATGTACCTGGGTTGCAGGCACATCCCCAGTGGGAGGTGTGCAGGAGGCAGCTGATCGATGTTTCTCTCTCATCGATGTTTCTAACTCTCTATCTCTCTCCCTTCTTCTCTGTAAAAAATCAATAAAATATAAAAAAAAAAAAATCAGAGAAAATGTTTCCTAAATATTTAAATGTATTTTGTTTAAGTTGTTTCTCTTTTTTTCCCCTGAGATCATTTAGATGCATTTTAGTTTACTAAATTTATAAGTGAAAAAAATCAAAAGACTTTATGTGGCAAATTTGTTTTTGAAATTCACTTGTTTTAAACAATTGTTTAGATGAAAATATTTTAGTTTACTAAAAAAAAATTAGATCAGCAAACTCACAGTGTTTCTTTGACCTTAAAACAACTCCTATTTGAATTGCAATTTTATTTTATATTCAGAAATCCAAATCTACAGGCTATTATAGAAAGCTGTATTTAAATTTAAAGTCTGAATATCACATTCTAAACAAGATTTTGCATCCAGAAATCTTACTTAACAGAGACAGGAAAACTACTTATATGTAGATACTAGATAAAGCCATTTCAAAAAAGATAAAAGTAAAAAGAAGAAAGGAATTAGAGCAGGACAGAAAGGTGCAAATCCAGTAGAAAAATCAAAACATTTTCAACTCATTGATTAAAATGCTTTAATAAGGACCTATAAAGTATGAACACATATGTGCATAATTCATTTCTATTAACATGATAATGTATAATTTCCTGAACATACCTGACTAGCGTCCTTTATATGTATGTTGTCAACTAATTTGCACAACAACCAAAAATACTCTTTGCATCCAGGTTTTAACATTGGTTCTTCTTCATAATCATCTATCTATTAAAAAAATTTTAACTTTGTAAAATCATTTTTAAAAGGAAAACAACTTAAAATTACAATATATTTAAGAAACTACACTATGAAAAGAATTAAATCCTAATACAAACTAAACAGTAATAAAAACTTAACAAAAATATGAAGACAACACTCCTATTTTCTATAAAGTTAGAAAACTAAGAACATAGTGAATGAGAAAACTCAGAATAACGTTGCTCTCAAATTACTTACAACCTACTTGAAAAAGATATGAATAATGTATAATGTTAAATAATGTGATATAAATTAAGACTTCAATGAAAATGTCGGAATACAAGAAACCTACAGAACATGAGTATATATAAAGCTACCCACATGCAATGGTCTATTATAATTTTGAAATCTGAAAAATAAAGAACATATCGTATTTCTTACATAGTCGATGATAGGTTAATATGGTGGAGGAAAGTAAATCCTACAATACAACATATTTCTGGGATTAGTAAAATTTACTTACTAATGGGCTCAGGATTTATTATGTGGTAGATGCTTTTACAAGGCTAATATATACATGGGAAAGGGATGAAAATTGGAAATTGAGAATATCATAATAATAATAAAACCCTATGTGACTAAATTAAATGATAGCTACATTTATGATGTTTCTGACATTCAACTTACTAACACAGGCCCAAAAATACAGTAAGAACAAATGTTATTTCCAAAACAGAATATCCATGACAGATCCCCTAAAGCTGAATAAAATTGGGCACAGGAAACTGCAAAAATAGAAACCACTCCTGAATACAGTAAAATCTTACCCTGATAGGTTTGAGAGCTTGAGCATCAGGAAGAAATTTCAACAATGTTGAGGCAGCAAGTAGCAGAAAAGAGCGATTGATTGAGTCACCTCCATCCAGTCCTGATAGAGATAACTTATAAAGACCATTGCAAGACTCATGTCGGACTGCAGTCTAAATGAAAAAACAAGTTCCAAAGACAATCTGAGTTAGTATTAAACAGTTAATATTAGGCTTAATACATTGGCAGAAATAACATTAGGTGACTTATTTAGTAACATTTTAAAATGCAATGTTCTGATCACATATTCACGCATATAAATATATGAACAAATAAAGTACTCCAAAGTATATAGTAATAATGTAAAAACATATCTGAGAAATCCTAAATATGGTCATAAAATAAAACCAATTAAACAATGATAATAGACAAATACAAAGGGGATTGAGGAGAAAATATACATATAAATTTATGTACAAGATTAAGTAACAGGATAAAATATTTTCATAACAGCAATTTATATAACACTTAAAGTAGAACATTTTACCAATTCTAAGGTACTTGCCCAAGTGTCACAATGGTTCTTTGGGACAGAACCAGAACAAAAACACATATTCATCAACTCAGAGTACAGTTTTATACAGTACTGTCTAAAAAAGATGTGATTGTTGGGGCTAAGTGATAGTAAGAGTGTGTTTCTACTATTTCACGTAGGAATATGGTGTGAGTAATATCAAAGATATAGTTAGTGAAAATTATATTGTCCTCCTCAATAATGGAATCAAAGAAAATATATTTATTTTTATTTTCACTTGCATCTAAGATACACTCTAATTAAATAGAAAAAAAAACCACAAATAAGAACTTCTCTAAAACGTAAATGACCACAATAAATGCTAAATGACCACAATAAACGCTCACCTCTCCATGTCCCAAAAAAGAGCAATTTTTTAAAAAAAAGCAAAATAATCTATAAAGAAGTATTTCAGAAAAAGACAAATATGAATGCTATAGAATATGTAACATTCACACTTAAGTATAGATAGTTCCAAAATATTCTAGATCTTCCAGATAATGTGATATATTTGTGGGATCATTTGTTTCCATTAGTTTTTTTATTATCAACTAAAGGCCCAGTGCATAAATTCGTGCATGGGTAGGGTCCCTTGGCCTGGCCAGGGATCGGGGCCATCTCGCCCAGTCCTGATTGGCCAGACCCCAGCTAGCAAGCTAACCTACCTGTTGTAGCATCTTCCCCCTTGGTGGTCAGTGTGCATCATAGCAACTGGTGGAGTGGTTGACTAAATGGTTGACCGATCGGTCGGACACTTAGCATATTATGCTTTTATTATATAGGATGTTAATAATATAAAAAGTAAAGCGTAACTACTAATCTTTATTTTTATCTTACCTCAGGAATAAGGAGGGTCAATTTCTTTAGCCAATCTTGTAAATGATCACTATCAGCAAGGCTAGATTTCACTAAAGAACAGCAATGAGCCCAACTCACCAAGAGCCACATTGAATAATGTGAAACTAAAGAAAAAGTAGAAAAAATACAATTATAAGGGCTTGGTACTGTAAAGAAAACAATGTTCATTATTTAAAAATACATATAAATTTATCTAGTTATCTAAATTTTTACCTCTTAAAAATTAACTTTCTTAAATCCTTACCTTCATGTCTAGACCTGTGATCAGACTGAGCTTTCAAAACTCTGCAAATAAAAATACACCACCACCAATTAAATTCAGTAATGAATTAAAAATAACTTAGTTAAAAGTATATACAACTTTCCCCATAAAAAACATTAGATTTTAGAAAGCTACTTTTATTTTTTCTATGACTCTTATCTTTTATTTTAAAATTCACTGGTTAAATCTTATAGCAAACAAATGGATGCTCAGATTTAATAAAATTTGACTGAAACCAATATTGATTGAAATAAGTAAACCCTCAACAAATACTCATGGGCTGTTATTCAAGAGAAAGGTCACAATGGTTTAGTCTAAACTTCAGACTCTTTAAAACAGTGGTTCTCAACCTTCCTAATGCCACGACCCTTTAATACAGTTCCTCATGTTGTGGTGACCCCCAACCATAATATTATTTTCATTGCTACTTCATAACTGTAATTTTGCTACTGTTATGAATCGTAATGTAAATATCTGATATACAGGATGTATTTAGGCGACCCCTGTGAAAGGGTCGTTCGACCCCCAAAGGGGTTGCGACCCACAGGTTGAGAACTGTTGCTTTAAAAGAAGAATCATACATTGACATAAAATGCCCTTCCTTTGACAAAAAAAAAAATTCTGAGCAGTACTAAATTAAATTATAGCAGGCCAGAAAGTGAGACAGAGAGACAAGAGTATTCAACCAGTTAATTAATGTCTGTGAGCCAACTAACAATGCTCACATTCCTAAATACATGAAGGAGCTTTGAAGCAACTCCCAGAGCAGTGATGGCGAACCGATGACACGCATGTCAAAGTTGACATGCGAACTCATTTTTTTGGTTGATTTTTCTTTGTTAAATGGCATTTAAATATATAAAATAAATATCAAAAATATAAGTCTTTGTTTTACTATGGCTGCAAATATCAAAAAATTTCTACATGTGACAGGGCAGCAGAGTTAAGTTAGGGTTTTTCAAAATGCTGACATGCCGAGCTCAAAAGGTTCGCCATCACTGTCCTAGAGCAACCACCAGAAACCATCACAATCTGCTTATGCATGAACTTTCAGGACTGTTCCCTGCAGCCAATCAAAAGTAGTAAACATTTCTTCCTCAGGGACTATGCACCTATCCCAGAACTGCCCCTGCTTTACCTTCCTCCTTTACTTAGCCAATGTAAATTCTTTCAAAACAACTTACATCTTTCTTCTATAATGTACAAAGAGCCCATCAACTCCAGAATGGGGGACATGTAGTCTGCCGTTGGTTTAGACTTCATGCCCCAGGACTTAGTCCTCTTCTGGCTAGCATTCAGCTCAACAAACCCTTTCAGAAAAGCTTTCAGCTATGAGTTCTGTTTAATGCTGTTGTATGTTAGTGCCAGTTTCTAGCATGAATAGTTAAAAGCAAATTATTAAGCCCTAACCGGTTTGGCTCAGTGGATAGAGTGCCGGCCTGCAGACTGAAGGGTCCCGGGTTTGATTCTGGTCAAGGGCATGTACCTTGGTTGCCGGCACATCCCCAGTGGGAGGTGTGCAGGAGGCAGCTGATTGTATCCATCTGGAACAAGTGTTCCAGTTTCTAACTCTCTATGCCTCTCCCTTCCTCTCTGTAAAAAATCAATAAAATATATATATTTTTTAAAAAAACAAATTATTAAAAAGTAGAGAAAGCTGACTAATTTCGTCACTAGAAGTCCAATGCGCTATCCATTGCGCCACAGAGCCCGCTAAAGCTGACTAATTTAATATAATTTCATCTTTATTTTCCCTAATACTTTTAGTAACTTCAATGGAAAATGTATTACTTTGTCCGGCTGGTATAGCTCAGTGGTTGAGCATCGACCTATGCAACCTATGAACCAGGAGGTGGTCATGGTTCAATTCCCAGTCAGGGCACATGCCCAGATTGTGGGCTGGACCCCCAGTAGGGGGCGTGCAGGAGGCAGCCGATCAACGATTCTCTCTCATCATTGATATTTCTAGCTCTCTCTCCTTTCTCTAAAATCAATAAAAATATTTTAAAAGAAAATGTATTCAGTTTCAAGAAAACTAATTGAAATTTTTATTTTAACAAGACTAAATAGATTATTTGCCTTATAAATAAACTTTTTAAAAATATATTTCTATTGATTTCAGAGAGAGAGGGAGAGAGAGATAGAAACATCAATGATGAGAGAGAATCATTGATCAGCTGCCTCCTGCACGCCCCTCACTGGGAATCAAGCCCACAACCAAGGCACATGCCCTTGATGGGAACCAAGTCCGGGACCCTTCAGTCTGCAGGCCGACACTCCATCCACTGTGCTAAACCAGCTTGGGCTTACAAATAAACTTCTAAAAAATCACTAATCTCTAGCATTCACACTTTGCTATTAATTCACAGAATACCTTTTAAAGTCCCCCAAAGCAAGGCTCACCCATATTACTGATTTAAAGTAAAAGGTACTAAGAAGTAAAAACTTTATAAATCAAACTTTATTAATATTAAACATACTATAAACATATTGGTATATTAACTTTACCAGAGTAGCTTACCCACCTATCTTTTAAATTTGTAGTATTAAATGATTTTTGATAATACAAGCATAAAGTGTTTTAACTGCTTTGATGTAAATCTCCTAGCACAGTGGTCGGCAAACTGCGGCCCCTTGAGTGTGGCTCTTCCACAAAATAACACGTGCGGGCGCGCACATACAGTGTGATTGAAACTTCGTGGCCACACAAAGAGCCGCATGTGGTTGCGAGCCGCAATTTGCCGACCACTGTCCTAGCACCTTATGAATGGAGGGTTAGAACCTATGAAAAGATAATGGTGCAGAAATAGAAGCTGAGAAATCACAGAGATGAAGTGTGGGAATGGGGAGTGGGCAAGAGCTCACATTAGAAAGATTTTAATGAATTTTTTAAGATGGAACTACTGGCCCTGGCTGGGAAGCTCAGTTGGTTAGAGCATCATCCAAATTCACCAAGATTGTGGGTTCGGTCCCTGGTCAGGGCACATACAAGCAAAGAATGAATGTATAAATAGAACAACAAATTGATGTCTCTATGTCTCTCTCTCTCTCTAAAATAAAATAAAAATGGAACTGCTAGAACGAAAACAAGAATTGCCACACAGAGAACCAGCAGCAAAACCTGGTATCAAATCTGCATATTTATTTTTCATTGCATGAGGTTAACAGAGTCAAGTGAACAAAAAGTGGACTAAAGCAGTCATTGAATTGCCTTAACTCAATGTATTGTAGTGTGTGAATACTGAGGAACAGTGTGTGTTAGAGGACAAGGAAGAAGAGTTAAGAAATATTTAGCTGAGAGTAACTGGTGGTTGGGGTATAAAACGTATTTTATCATATTAATCAAAGCCATGTTACATCATTTTCTTCATTTCCCCGTTACTCGTTCATAAGTTTTTAAACTATGAGGTAAGATATCTGGCACTGAAAATATAATGGTGAGCAAAATCACATTTAGTTTATATAGTACTTACACTTAACCAGTCTAGTGGGGTAAAGCAGGTATTGATCAAGGAATGACTGTGAATTAAACTGGGACAGACACTAAAGAAAAGTACATTAAGAAAGACATAATCTTAGGCCCTGGCTGATGTGGCTCAGTTGGTTGGAGCATCGTCCCATATACCAAAGGCTGCAGGTTTGATTCTTGGTCAGGGCACATACCTAGGTTGTGGGTTCAATAGCCTGTAGGGGTATGTACAGGAGGCATAACCAATTGGTCTCTCTCTCCCCCTTTCTCCCTGCTCCCCATGTATTTAGTCAGCAAATACAATACTTTAATTGGGGGGGGGGGGGGGATAACTTGTACATTTAAAAAAGCTTTTCCAACATAACTCAAATACATAGAATCATATTACACATTTAACTATATTCTTATTTCCAGCTCTATCCAGAGGGCAGAGAAGCACGGAAACACTGGTAGCAATGAGTAGACCACACACCCATATTTCTGAGGTTCCCTACCAACAGGCTTCTTAAAGAAAATGGCTGATTCTAGAACTAAGGCAGGGAAACTACAAACCTGGAAGGGGGAAAAAAGGATCCCTCCCCTCCACACAAAATAATGTGATATGTCAAAAGACACATGAACAAGCCTGACGAGGCCAACTCAGGAATATAATTTTAGTAAAGTGAATAGTAATGGTAATGAATTACAACATGTTGAATGAAAAAAAAATCCAAACTGATATTAAATAAAAGGAAAGAAGAGAAAGCACTTCCTAACAATAAAATGTCAACTAATAAACATAAAAGGAATGTTAAGAGTTAGAAAAACCACTAGTTTGTAAATATATATTACTTTTTTTTTAACTTTTAATCCTCACCCTAGGATATGTTTTTTTATTGATTTTAGAAAGAGAAAGAAAGGAGTGAGAAAGAAGGTAAGGAGAAGAGAGAGAGAGAGAGAGAGAGAGAGAGAGAGAGAGAGAGAGAGCGCGCGCGCGCTCAATTGACTCTCAAATGTACCCCGACTGGGAATTGAACCCACAACCAAGGTATGTACCCTGACCATGAATCAAACCCACAACCTTTTGATGTATAGGAAAATGCTCCAACCAACTGAATCACCTGGCGAGGGCTATACCAATATTTTTAATTCAGGCAAGAATCATCACTGAATGCTTAAAAAAAAAAAAAAATCAATGAATGAAAATTTTATTATAGGAGCTGGAAATTTAAGCAATTGCAAAATATAGTCCCCTCGGGTTACTTTTAATTGCAAAGAAAAAAATCAGAAACACTGTAGAAAAAGCTAAAGGAAACCAGATTAACCAATCATAATTAATATCACTAGTAATGGACAAACTGACATCACCAGGATGTACTGGGGAAGATTATTATTTATCGAGTATTCCTGATAAAATATATAATCCGTATCTAATCATGAGGAACAATCAGGAAAACCTAGATCGAAAGGTGCATTATAAAAGAATTGGCCTGTACTATTCAGAAATGTCAGTATCATAAAAGAAAGCTAAGACAGTATCAGTGATTAAAGGAAATGAAATATGACAACTAAACGCAATAGTAGTATGTGGTTCTAATGAGACATTGAGTACCAACTGTGTATTAGATAATATTTTCTAAACTTATTTTACACTAGTAGTTAATAAAATGTCCTTGGTCTTAGGAGATACACATGAAAGTACTTATGAGTAAATGGTCATAATGTCTGAAACTTACTCGCAAAGATTCAGTATAATATGTAAATGAATGTGTTCGCGCACACACAGATATACACACTCATGATTATGTGATAAAATTGGCAAAATGTTGATAATAATATGCAAATCTAGATAAGCAGTATGGGAGTTCATAAAAACACCCTAAAATTTTTCTAAGTATTAAATGTTTTCAAAAATGAAGCTTTAAAACACTATATTCTTACCACAAATGCATACATAAATTATGTTAAAAACATCATACCTAGGAGCCAGATTATCATAGGTATAAGCAACAGACATAAGTCGTTGAATCAAGCTGGTTCCTTGCACAAGAACAAGAAATACCTTTAAAACAAAACAAAACAAAAAACATTTTTTAAAAATCTTTAAATACATTAAAAAAACACACAAAACCACACAACTGCATTTTTAACCTGACTCAAAATTATGTTAAATTTTTTTATGACAAGGAGTATCTTAGAATGGCCATTTGAAAATACTGTAAAAATATCAAATATTAGAAAACAAGCAACTTTAACAAAAAAATATTCAAAATTTAGAAATACACAAATAAAACTAGTTTTTTATATTTGCTCCACAGATTCCCTGCATGTCAGAGAAAAATACTATATCACACACTGGTGGATTTTTGCACCATAGGTGAAGAATAAAACATTTTCTACTTCTGAAACAAGGAAAAAGAAGTCAAGCAACAGCAGACTCCTCAACCATTCTGAAATGAATATAGGAAGACAATATAATACTCCAGGGATATACAGCATGGATTTCAGATTTAAAATCCTAAGGTTCAATGTTGAGTTTGCTGACTTTCAAGCTGCCTCGATTCTAATAAATACTTTATTTCTAAATTCTAGCTCTTCGTCCATAAAATAGGAAAAAATAATAATTTGCTAATTTAATTTAAAAATTTATTGAATCTCTTCTGTAGGTTAGATAATATTTTCTAAACTTATTTTACACTAGTAGTTAATAAAATGTCCTTGGTTATAGGAGATACACATGAAAGTACTTATGAGTAAATGGTCATAATGTCTGAAACTTACTCGCAAAGATTCAGTATAATATGTAAATGAATGTGTTTGCGCGCACACAGATATACACACTCCTGATTATGTGATAAAATTGGCAAAATGTTGATTATAATATGCAAATCTAGATAAGCAGTATGGGAGTTCATAAAAAACACCCTAAAATTTGGGCACTTATTTTATAAGACACTGTTCCCATCCTGGAGATGTTAGACAAGTGCAGCAGATAACACAGAGAGCGCTGTAACACAAGCATATATATGTCAAATGTGCAAAACCTGTCCCTGGCAAAATCAGGAAAGCTTCAAGAAAAATTATGTTTAGGTAGGAATATAAAAGTTCAATTTGGAATTTCAACCTTTGTAAAGACTATTAATATTAAACAAATACAAAGAATTTCGTACTATCTATAGTGTACCAAAATTGGATGGCTCTGTCTCCAGAATTAGTGTAACAAGAATTTTGTTCCCAAACAGCTTAGATTTACATACTAAGCTCTAATTATTATGATGAATAAACGGTAAAATACATAATGTATGTACCTTTTGTAAACTACAAAAACAACCCTGGCATGTGCACAGAAAAAAAAAAAATAATGCTATTTATGGTTGTCATCTATGACTGAAGAGTTCACTTGTATATTCAGAACTATTTTCACTAAGAATGTACTTTCATATATTTTTTAAAAAATAAGCCAATTCTTGGGGTCTGTGTGGAAGTGGCCAAAGTGGGAATAAGGGGTACATCTATAATAGTGTCAACAATTAAAGGTAAAAAAATAAAAAGCAAGCCAATTATTTTTAAAATTCTATATGTGTACCTATATTTATATATTATTAATATCTCAAGAGGAAATCACTAAGTGTCAAAAGCTTTTAAGTTATTTAGTGAGTTGATGGGAAAAAGCACATTCAATCTGTGCTTTTTACATTATAACCTGGAAATACTAGCATAGACCATTTTTCCCATTTAACCCTGGAATACTAACATTGATCATTTCCCCCTTTTAATCTCCCCAAATTCCAGGGAAATATGCTTTATGTTTCCATTTATACCATCAGTTTCCAACCTATAACCACCACAATAGTTTTCTATCAGTAACCAATTCATTACTCTGTTTTTTCTTGAGCAGGTATGAAGTGAGGCACTAGTCACAAAAGATTACAAAATGAAAAAGAGATTTCACTAAAAACTCATCATCATCTCTTCCCCACTTCCAAGACCACTGGTGAAGACATTGGAAATACAAATATATAATCACATGAACAAAAATAATTCTAATTTTACTGCTGGTTATTGTGTCATTTTCTTCAGCTCTATCCATTATATATACTTGCTCTGCAATCCTAGGGCTGGTACATAACAAATCAAATTTCTCCTTGCCAGCTGACTTCCTATTAGGTTCTGTCAATCTGACACACTATAAATTATTTCCTTGTGGATTTCCTCTTTTTTTTTGGCACTGCGCCAAAGTATTTCACCCAGAAAAGGCAGTTGGTTTTAGTTGGTTTTAGAAGCAGTAGCAAAACCCCTTTCTTGAGAGGCCTAAACCCCAGTTCAACAGTATTTTTATTCTATAAGCTTATTTCTGAAAACCCCAACCTATTCCTCCCATATGTTCTGAAAACCCTGAGCAGTAAATGGCTACTTGTCTAGATTACCTCAACATTTCTCTTTTGTATGTTCAGTCTTCCAACACATACATATAAAACCAATTCTCTATTTTAAATTTCCTCTGTTGAAATATCTAATGTGGTTTGCTTTCCTGAATGGACCCTAATACATACATACATTCTCTCTCTCTCTCTCTCTCTCTCTCTCTCTCTCTCTCTCTCTCTCTCTATATATATATATATATATATATATATATATATTACTGAATCCAAATAATAACCTCAATCCTACAGTTAGATAACATTAAAATGCCATATAATTTATTCTTGCATTTTGGATGATGAACTAAGCATCATAATTACTTCTGCATTAAAATGAAGGCATCACTTCAAATGGTAAGTCATACTGTGGTATTGTAGAATAGCATTTCTTATGCATTAGTGTTTTACATCATTTTGTCAAAACAAGAAATACACAAGCTCTCTTAAAACATAAATAGAATTCATTACTACAATTTAATAACTTCTGAACTTTACCTCTGTTAATCTTGGTATATGAAGACCTTTGGCATGATCACCAGCAGCCTTTCTTGATTTGCCAGGCCAAGTTCTTTTCCTATGGCTTTCTGCTATACCAGACCAGGCAAAGACATCATGATAAGCTAAGTCCAAATCAGACGGATCTACTGCAAACTGGCATATTAACTTCAGCAAGCAAGCAAGACAGTCTAGCTGCCACTGTGGATAAGAAAAAAATGTCATTTCCCTATTTTAATTAACTTAATATGGCTACTATATAACTTAAAATGAAAGGCTAGAAAATAAAAATAATTATACCAAGTAGTTAATCCATGTGCTGTAAAATTTTCCTCAGCATATATCAACCCAATCTTATGAAACTGAAGAAAAATTATCAAAACACTAAGAGGGTGCATGTAATGAAATGGAAATGACACACATTTCTACCATGAAAACATCATATAAATGTATGTAATAGGGAGATACGGGGTTTTTAATAAAAATACAGTACAGCATTTCGGAAGCAGTGATATCTGAACAAAGATGCTGATCCTGACCTGAAAGACATCCCTGGAAGGAGTGCTGAAAGTGATCCCGTTCAGGCTAGTAGGGGATAGCTCGATAAATTTAAGAAAATACGTGTTTATTTATAAACAGTACATTATACATGTACTGTATATAAGAAAAGTTAAACAGGGAATTCTTTGGGGATCTGGAATGGATTGATTCAATTTACATTCTTTCTAATGGGAAAATATGATTCAGTTTTTTAACAAATCACTTCTTGAAAAGCCTTCCGGCATGAATTAAGTTCGAGCACCAAGGTTCCACTGTACATTGCTCAAAATGTACTATGATTTTTAAAACAGTTAAACAACTAACAAGTTGTTTCTCCAACAAGTTGCATATACTCTAATATATTGGGGCCATAGCAATTCTCAATAGCTCTAGAATATAATTCAACTGAAAATGTTACATTTCTATATGTATATTTAAAATAAAAATATTTTGGTAAAACATTTTTTAGTGTAATATTTCTGACTTAAAGATCTACTTAAATTTTTTTAAAGTAAAACACTTCCTTAAAATGAATTAATAAGAATTATCATTTATGTTCAAGATGAGAGTTTCAGAGCTTTCGCCTTAATAGTCCTCTTCTTCCCATTTTCCTAACGCCAGTGCCAAGTGGTATATCTATACAATATACCAATATACTTGAAACATAGCAACCCCATATACGTAACTGGTTTTCAGAAAGGTACGAAGAAATTTCAGTGAGGAAAGAATAGTCTTTTCAACAAATGGTGCTAGAAAAATTGGATAGCCATAAAAAAATCAAAACAAAACTTCATCCTCACTCCACTTATATAAAAGTTAGCTCAAAATGATCACAGACCTAAATCTGAAAGATAACTGTAAAACTTACAGAAAACAAATAAACAAACAAAAATCAGGAGAAAATCTTTGTGATCTTAAAAAAGGGATTTCTTATACAGGATACAAAAACTGTTACATTTTAAAACTTTGCTTAAAAAAACATAAATGTTTATTTATATATGTAAGCCACAGACTGAGTGAAAATATTCCTACTACAGTAGTCCTTCCCTTAGTCACAGTTTAATTTTCAGAGGTTCCAATTGCCCATGGTCAACAACAGTCTGAAAATATTAAATGGAAAATTCCAGAAATAAACAACTCATAAGTTTTAGATTTTGTGCTGTTCTGAATAGTGTGATGAAATCTCCTGCCTGTGCTGTTCTGTCCCGCCCGGATATGAATCATCCCTTTGTCCAGTGTGTCCACACTGCATACACTACTCAACCATTAATCACTAAGTAGAGCTGGCTCAGTAGCAAAGTGCTTGTGTTCAAGTAACTCTTATTTTACTTAATAACAAAAAATTGGATAACTTACACAAAATGGACAAATTTTTAGAAACACAAAACTCATTCATAAAAAAATAAAAAATCTGAATAATGCTCTACACATTGAAAAAGACAAGTAACATGATTTCACTCATATATGGAATCCAATGAATCCAATGAATTAACAAGCAAAACTGATACAGACTCATAGATAGAGCATAGGCTGATACCTGGGGAGGGGCAGGGGGACACTGGGTGAAGGAGGTGGATGGATTGAGCAAAAAGAAAAAAAGAAAAAGAGAGGAAAAACTCAAGGATATGAACAACAGAGTGGTGACTGCTGGGGGTGGCGTGGAGGAGGATTTAGAGCAGCAGTTCTCAACCTGTGGGTTGTGACTCCTTTGGCGGTCAAACTACCCCTTTCACAGGGGTTGCCTAAGACCATCCTGTGAATATTTACATTACAATTCATAACAGATATCAGATGTTTACATTACAGATATTTACATTACAATTCATAACAGTAGCAACATTACAGTTATGAAGTAGCAACGAAAATAATTTTATGGTTGGGTCACAACATGAGGAACATTTAAAGGGCCAAAAGGTTGAGAACCACTGGTTTAGAGGGTAAATAGTGATGGATGGAGGACTTGACTTGGGGTGGTGCACACACAATACAGTGTATAGATGATGTGTTGTAGAATTGTGCAACTGAAATCTGTATACTTTTGTTAACCAGTGTTCACCCCAATAAATTCAATAAAAAGGACAAAAATGCAGATGGAAAATGTCAATGTAAATGAAAAACAAATTATAGAATATTAAAATAAAATTACTTCTGAGACCATTTAATGTGGAAAGGACAGCCTTTTCAAGAAATGCTGGGAAATCTGGATGTCCATATGAAAAAGATTAAGGTTGAACCATTACCTAACACATATACAAGAATTAATTCAAAATGAATCAAGGACCTAAAATATAAAACTCTTGGAAGAAAATATAGGACAAAAGCTTCAGGACATTGAATTTGGCAATGATTTCTTGAGTAAGACAACAAAGACACAAAATAATACTACATACTCACTAGAATGGCTGAAATTAAAAAGACTAACTATACCAACTATTGGTGAGAATGTGTAACAAATGCATGGTACAAACTCCTTTGCAAACAGTTTGGCAGCTTCTTATAAAGTAATCTTACACTTACCATACTTCTCAGCTATTTTTTTACTTGGCATTTACCCAAGAGAAACAAAAACATATGTACCCCATAAGACTTGCATATGAATGTTTATATCAGCTTTATTCGTAATAGCCCCAAATTGGAAACTCAAATGTCCATTAATAGGTGACTGCATACTCTTAGTATACATATACAATGGTTCTCTACTCAGTAATAAAAACCAAACTAAAAATACATGCAACATTTATCAATCTCCATATACATGTTTAGTGAAAGAAGCCAGATACAGAAGAGCATTTACCATTATTATTCCATTTACATTAAATTCTATAAAATACAAATATAACCTATAGCAACAGAAAGCAAGTCAGTGGTTGGCTGGGAGAAACTGATTATAAAAGGGGAGGATGGAACTTCTGAGGTAGTAGAAATATTCTATATCTCAATTGTGTTGGAGGATTACACAAGTATACACATTTTTGAAAACTTAAACAATAATTTATAAATGAGCACATTATTTACTGCATGTAAAATATATTCAACTTCGTAAGACACATAAAACTGAAAGTGGATCAAAGACCAAAATTTAAAAGCTAAAAATGTAAAGTAATTAAAAGCAAACAGTCATCAATCTTCATGGCTTTGGATAAAATATTACTTTCAAGGATGAACCTTGAAAATCATATGCTAAGTGAAAGAAACCAGTCACAAAGGACCGACCATCTCTATAATAATAAAAGCATAATATGCAAACTGACCGAATGGCCAAACAGCGGAATGACCGTCCAGATGAAGCCGTGTGGCTGTGAGGGCCGAGGCAGCGAGGGCCTACCCTTGCATGAATTTCGTGCATTGGACCTCTAGTATATATAGAAAAATTTATATGAAATGTCTACAATAGGCAAATCTGTAGAGATAGCAAGTCGATTAGATTAGTGGTTGTCTAGGGCTCAAACATAAGAAAAAATGAGGAGTGATTTCTAATGAGTCTGGGATTTCTTTTGGAGAATGATGAAATTGTTCTGGAATTAGACAATGGTAATAGCTGCACAATTTTGTCAATATATGAAAAACCACTGATTTACACATTTTAAAATAATTTTATTGTATGTGAATTATACCTCAAATTTAACTTTAAAAGTATACTTCAGCTAAGTTCATTATAAAGTAAAAAAAAATGTGATTAAGAAACAAAAATGGGAGAACCAAGATGGCGGCATAGGTTAATGCGGAGTTTTTTGCTTTGAACAACTACTTCAAAAGTGAAACCAAAAAACGGAAGGGACATCACCCAGAACCACAGGAACGCTGGCTGAGTGGAAGTCCTACAACTAGGAGGAAAGAGAAACGCATACGGACACTCAGAGGAGGCACAGTGCTGAAGTCAAATTCTGAGGTGCGGAGTGCGCGGAGCGGGCTGGCGGCGGAGGGCACGGTTGGCGTTTTCAATCGGGAGGGAGTCGCAGACTCTGAGCTCCAGATCCGGGCGAGTCTTTGGGGACCCAGACTCAAACGGGAGAAGCGGGACTGTCTGGCTTCGGTCAGAGCGAGTGCAGCTTTCTCTCTGAGCTTTGCAGCGGGTGCTGGGACTCAGAGAGGCAGAGCCCCTGGGGACAGGACTGAGAGCCGCCATAACTGCTCTCTCCGGCCCACCCTGTTGATCCTCTGCGATCCGCCCCGCCTAAGCCCTGCACAGAGGCTTTTGCCGGATAGCCTCAGGCAAAGGCTAGATTAGCACCTCCCTAGAGGACAGAAGTTCTCTCACTGCTGACACAGCTGATTCCCATAGCCACTTGGCCTGGAGGTCAAACCCTCCCTGGAATTAGCTACAACAATCAAGATTTAACTATAAGACTGTGCACAAAGACCACTAGGGGGTGCACCAAGGAAGCATAACAAAATGCGGAGACAAAGAAACAGGACAAAATTGTCAATGGAAGATATAGAGTTCAGAACCACACTTTTAAGGTCTCTCAAGAACTGTTTAGAAGCCGCCGATAAACTTAATGAGATCTACAAGAAAACTAATGAGACCCTCGATCTTATATTGGGGAACCAACTAGAAATTAAGCATACACGGACTGAAAGAACGAATATTATACAGACTCCCGACAGCAGACCAGAGGAGCGCAAGAATCAAGTCAATGATTTGAAATGCGAGGAAGCAAAAAACACCCAACCGGAAAAGCAAAATGAAAAAAGAATCCAAAAATGCGAGGATAGTGTAAGGAGCCTCTGGGACAGCTTCAAGCGTACCAACATCAGAATTATAGGAGTGCCAGAAGATGAGAGAGAGCAAGATATTGAAAACCTATTTGAAGAAATAATGACAGAAAACTTCCCCCACCTGGTGAAAGAAATGGACTTACAGGTCCAAGAAGCGCGGAGAACCCCAAACAAAAGGAATCCAAAGAGGACCACACCAAGACACATCATAATTAAAATGCCAAGAGCAAAAGATAAAGAGAGAATCTTAAAAACAGCAAGAGAAAGAAACTCAGTTACCTTCAAGGGAATACCCATACGACTGTCAGCTGATTTCTCAACAGAAACTTTGCAGGCCAGAAGGGAGTGGCAAGAAATATTCAAAGTGATGAATACCAAGAACCTACAACCAAGATTACTTTATCCAGCAAAGCTATCATTCAGAACTGAAGGTCAGATAAAGAGCTTCACAGATAAGGAAAAGCTAAAGGAGTTCATCACCACCAAACCAGGATTATATGAAATGCTGAAAGGTGTCCTTTAAGAAGAGGAAGAGGAAGAGGAAGAAAAAGGTAAAGATACAAATTATGAACAACAAATATGCATCTATCAACAAGTGAATCTAAGAATCAAGTGAATAAATAATCTGATGAACAGAATGAACTGTTGATTATAATAGAATTAGGGACATAGAAAGGGAATGGACTGACTATTCCTGGGGGGGAAAGGGGTGTGGGAGATGCGGGAAGAGACTGGACAAATATCGTGCACCTATGGATGAGGACAGTGGGTGGGGAGTGAGGGCGGAGGGTGGGGCGGGAACTGGGAGGAGGGGAGTTATGGGGGGGAAAAAAAGAGGAACAAATGTAATAATCTGAACAATAAAGATTTAATTAAAAAAAAAAAAAAAGAAACAAAGATGATTCTGAACTATAATATATTAACAGAGATGCATTATAAATAGGGGAGATATCAGCTGACTTAAAGCAATCTGTCTCTCAGGCATGCTTGGCATCTCTGACATTGCTAGGCCTACCAGTATATGGCAGCAAATTTTTCTTATCAGTAATATTTCATAACAGTGCCCAAACTATCAAAGTAAACAAAGAAAACCTTTGGCATGATTCCCTGCAATACCATTCAATACTAAACTTAGAATATTTTATAAACAAAATTTCTACAAATGGCACATAACTACTCATTAAAGATTTTAATTAAATACTCCCACTTTGCCAAAGAACTAAAAAACACCTTATAACACTAAGAGATTAATGGGACAAGAAAGACATGAGAAACAATAAAACAAAACAAATATTTAAATTATAAGACACAGACATCAATATTTATTATAGTAAGGTATCTATTTTCATAAAATATCTGTAGTAAAATATGTAAAATAAAAATGTATTGTTTTTCATTTCCAAGTATTGAAACCAGTGGTAAGAAAGCAATGTTTTCCACCCTAGCTGGTTTGGCTCAGTGGATAGAGTGTCAGCCTGTGGACTGAAGGTTCCTGGGTTCGATTCCAGTCAAGGGCACATGCCTGGGTTGCAGGCTCAATCCCCAGTAGGGGGCGTTCAGGAGGCAGCCGATCAATGATTCTCTCTCATCATTGATGTTTCTACCTCTCTTTTTCCCTTCCTCTCTGAAATCAATAAATATATATATTTTTTAAAAACATAGCAATGTTTTCTAAATGTACTTTCTTTCATTAATCTTTTATAGTAGCATTTGACATAAAAAACACCTGTCTCCTAAATTCTAAAATAATTCTAAAAAACAAGTACTAAGAAATTACTTGAATGAAATGTTTCATAATGCTACTCTGCTTTGTTGGAGGTCAGGAAACAGAGCATCCTTTCCATTTGTTTTAAAAACTGAAAAAGAGTCTCTTCAAAAAATTAAATACATACACCAAGTTCTTTTAAAAAAGCATTCAAAGTTTAACTATATGAATATCTATATAAAAGCCTAACTGGCTGAATGGCTGAATGACTGTTTGACCGGTCACTATGACATGCACTGACCACCAGAGGGAAGATGCTAAATGCAGGAGCTGCCCCCTGTGGTCAGTGCATTCCCACAGCGGAAGCACCGGTCAACTGACTGACAGATGCCAGATGCTGGCAAGAGCAGCTGCAGCAGAGTGAACCTCTCCCACCTCCATGGCAGTGCACTACTGAGCGGTGGAGGTGGCAGGCGCAGCAGGGCCGGGATGAGCAGGAGCGGTGCCAGCCAGGGCTCCTTTCTGGCTGGCTGCCGCTTTGCGCACTACTATATCCTTCGGGGGTGTCGGACTGCCGGTTTTGGGCCGATCCCTGCAGGCCAGGCCAAGGGACCCCAACTGCCAGAGGGACCCGCTCACTCCGCAGACACCCTTCGAGTCCCAGCACTGCCCCAGGTGCAACCAGCGAGGGAGGAACTGCGGGAGGTTGGCTCCAGGGCGTGTCCGGCCCTGCCAGTCACCTTCTAATTAATTTCTTTTCAATGTGCACGAATCCATGCACTGGGCCTCTAGTTAATATATAATGTATAAACCTAAAGGAAAAATATTCATTAGACATAGTTCAAGAGTCATTAATTTTAACACTTAAGATTTTTTAAACGAAGTGACATGGAAAACTCTTACTGCGTAATTTCTTTATCAAACCCTATTTAAGAAACAGTAATTTCTACTATACTCCATACTCTCCTGTGCGACAGTTGATGTAGCTCAAGTTATACTTGCTAAAGGGAAATGGAAATGCTTAAAATGGGATAACTATTTTAACTAGCTAACAGTGAATTTTCACTTACCACAGTCCAGGATTCCTGCTCTTTAGGCTCCAGAATTCCAGAATTAAAAATTTCTAATAACTGTTGAAGCCCTCCAGCAGCAACGAACTGTAAGCAATTATGAGCATAATGGTAAGAGAAAAGCAGCTACATAATGTAATGAAGACCTGTTTTGAGGTATGTGTATATGTAAGTAAAATATTACCTATCTTTCAGTTAAAAAATTTCTCTTTGACTTAAATAATCAAAATAATTTTTATACAAGTAACATACAGCCTACTTTCAAGAACTTTTAAAAGACTCTTGCAAAAATCTACAACATATCTTTATATTCCATTAACCACTTAATCCCAAACAGCGGGATGTACTAACAGAGTATTGCAATGAAGGAAATATGTAAGTGCTATAATTAGGAGCTCCAAGATATTAATACATATTAGCTTATAGTGAATTGGAGTAATCTGTATTTTTAAACTACCCTTTATTTTAATAGTAAATAAGTTGAAAACCAATAAATAATTATGGTATCTACTTTTGGAAAATTAGAAATAAATTATTTTCATCATACTGTAAAACACATGATCCAACCTTGCAACTCCATGAATTTTTACTATTTTCCACTTGATCCTCACTTGAATCATCAGAATCTGGATAAAGATCACTGTAACTTCCCTGTGGAAAAAAATAAGAATGAGAGAGAATGGCAAGAGAAAAAATTATTCTGGAATCAAAAGATAACATGCTCTGGAATTTTGCTCCAGAGTGAATACAAATATGTAATGATAACAATAGAAATACAATTACCGTTGACTCTCTCCTTATTCTTCTATTAGGTTTCCCCAGTGCTTCAATAATTTCCAGGGCATATAATAGCTTGTGAGCACTCTTAATTTTGAGAAGTTCTTTCCAATTAAGTCCATCATTACTCTTAAATAAAAGAAAAACATAAGTTTCCCATGCCAACTTACTAGGGGGAACCTCCCTAAATTAAAGAAATTGACACTCTATAAAAACTCTAATATTACATATACATTGAAATACATTCAAACATGTGAAGACCAATCATATAATTGGTACTAATGTTATGCTTAAAACATCAATTACTGAGGAAGGAAGACGGTGGCATAGGTGAAAATGGTACTCACTGCCTCCCACAACCACATCAAAAATTTCAACTAAAATACAGAACCACCACCATTCAGAACCAATTGAAATCTGGCTGAACAGAAGTACTACAAATAGGAAACTACAGAAAAGGTACATTGAGACTGGTAGGAGGGGCAGATGTGGGAACTGGCTGGTCTCACACCCAAGTGTGGTGGTTTAAAATCAGGAGGGATATCATGGCTGTGGAGGTTTCCCTGAGGAGCAAGGAATCCCTGCCCCACACCAGGCCCCCGGCCCAGGGTTTCAGTGCCAGGAAGAGAAGTCCCCACAACTTTTGACTGTAAAAACCAGCAGTTCCTCCTCTTAAAGGGCCTTGCACACGGACTTTCTGGGAATCGCTCCCTCTGAGCTCCAGCGCAGCAGTTTGAAAGGAACCTGGGACATTAGGGGAGGAACTAACTTGCCTGGAATTGACAGCTTTCTCCCAGACAGAAGTGGTGTCAGAGGCCATTGTTCCTTTGCTGAGCCCTTCCTGCAACAGAGCTGAAAGACTACTGCCATATCTGAATCTCCATCAAAGTGGCTCACACTTTTCACCCCAACCGGTGATTCCCTGAGACCCCACCCCTCCCTCCTGGCAGGCTCATCCAAGACATTTTCAGTGGCTTTTCCATACAACTGGCCTCTCTTGCCTCATGCTTTGGAATTTCCTAAAATCTCTCAAACAAGCAGCACCTGGCATCAGTGTGCCCTGTACCTCTCAATAAGTGGCCCCAGGCCCAGCAATAGCAGCAGACTGCCCTCGTTCACATCTTGGCCTCTCCTGAGCACATCCAAGCTCAACACAAGTAGGAGCCATCTGCAGATTGCTTTGTAACTAAGGTTGGGTGGCCCCAGGCAGGGCACAGGCAGAGGTTGACTTTGCCCCTCTCAGGAGGCCTCAGAGCCAGTGCACCGGGTGGTCAACTTCGACCACACCTGATTACAATCCTACCACCTCCACCAGTAACACTCTTAAGGGATGGACTCAGTGAGCACCAAAGCCCCACTGAAACAAGTCCTGCTCCCAAACATCAGCTCTTATGCTGTAGTCACAGATGATCCTCACAACCAATTGGCCTGGGGGTCAATCCCTCTCATTGAGGCCAATGTAAATCAAGGCTCAACCATAATAGGACAGTGCACAGAGCTCACAAAGGCATGCACCTGAAGCACCCAAATTAGATGACTGGGAAGGCTGAGCGACTGGGCCCTACAGGACACCTACTACATAAAGTGACTCTACACCAAGTCTGGGAGACATAGCAGATCTACCAAATTCAGAGAAAAAAACACAGGGAGTGGGCCAAAATTGCAGTGACAAAGAAACATGTCACAAATGAAAGAAAAGGAGAAGTCTCCAGGAAAAGAATTAAATGAAATGGAAGGAAGAAAATTACCAGATACAGAGTTCAAAGCAATGGTTATAAAGATGCTCAAGGAACTTAATAAAAACTTCAAGAAATTTAGTGAGAATTTCAAGGAACTCAGTGAAAACATCAACAACATAAAAAAGAACCAGTCAGAAATGAAGGATACACAAACTGAAATAAAGAATAATTTACATGGGCTCAACAGTAGAGGATACCTAGAATCAAATCAAGATTTTGAAATATTAAGGAAGCAAAGAATATCCAATCAGAACGCAAAAAGAAAAAAGAATCCAAAAATGTGAAAATAGTGTAAGGAGACTCTGGAACAACTTCAAACATACCAACATCCACATCATGGGGGTATCAGAAGGAGAAGAGAGGAAGCAAGAGATCAAAAACCTATTTTAAAAAATAATGACAGAAAACTTACCCTACCTGGTGAAAGAAATAGATATCCAAGTCTAGGAAACACAGAGTCCCAAACAAGAGGAAAACCAAAGAGGCCCACACCAAGACACATCATAATTAAAATGCCAAAGGTTAAAGACAAAGAGAGAATCTTAAAAGCAGCAAGAGAAAAGCAGTTAGTTACCTACAAGGGAGTGCACACATGACTGTCAACTGATTTCTCAACAGGCCAGAAGAAAGTGTCAAGAAATATTCAAAGTGATGAAAAGCAAGGACCTACAACCAAGATTACCCAGCAAAGCTATCATTTAGAATTGAAGGTCAGATAGAGCTTACCAAATAAGGAAAAGCGAAAAGAGTTCATCACCACCAAATCAATATTACATGAAATGTTAAAGGTTGTCTTCTTTAAGAAGAAAAAATAAAATGTCAAAAATAAGAATAAAATAGCAATAAATGCATATTTAGCAACAAATGAATCTAAAAATTAAAAGAAATGAACAAGGAATCTAATGAAAAAATAAACTAATTAATAAAATAGAACCAAGGGCATAGAAACCTGGAACAGTCTGAAGAATCTCAGAGAGAATGGGAGAGGAGGGCTTGAAAGAGATTAACCAGAGAATTTATATGCATATATGCATTACCTATAAATACATACAATAGGGTAGTGAATGCAGGGGGAGAGGGAGCTGAACACTACGGGGAGGGGGGTAATGGTGGGAAAAAGGAAGGGTCATCTGTAATACTCTCAACAATATGGTTTAAACAACTAAAAAATAAAACATCAATTACTGACTAAATTCGTTAAAGTAAAATTAATATACAAATAGCAGAATAGGAAAAAATTGTATCTTGTTAACCTTCACAACAGCTGAATCAATTTATCATTTGACTAATAAAAAACATAGCAGCCTAGTTGAATTCGTGTACTTTTAATATAGAAGTAGTAAAGTCTATGTTTAATATTTGTAAGTTAAACCGACCCATTTAAAAGTCATACGCAAATACATACATTTGAAAATACTGTTTTCTACTCTCAACTTATGAAATTGTTATTCACACTTAGTGTGCGTCTTTGACAATATTATTATTATCAGAGCTACTCTGCATCATGAACCACCATTTTCCAAGGCCATCATCTTCATTTCTAAATCATTCCAGATATAGGATTTTCTGAAATCACATGAAAACATCCCAAATCTAAGATAACGATTAGCGTAACATTAGATAATTTTTTCCATTCATCCTATAAGTGTTCCATTGGTGTCTCCAGAAAGTAACCACTAAAAAATAATCTCTCATTTTAACAGATATCTTTATAGGGAGATATCTAATAATATATGTGAGGTCATGCTCCTATGGGAAATCAACAAACATATTATTAGATTTCCTAGCTACATTATTTTACCTAATTCTATCAGTTCACTTGTATGAGCATCATACAAGTTGACAAGCACTGATACATGTCATTCAATCATACTATATGTTGTCTAGACATTTTTATTGTTGAAAACTAAGCAATATTCAGAATATTTAGTAATATGAAAAAACACTAATATAAAGGCAAATCCATGTTTTTTTCTAAAGATAATTTTAGTAAACATCCTTGCCTTATATTTACCCTACCTTTTCACTAAATGTTAAAATGAACTGGCACTTTTTACTGAAGATACAGGTCAAAATGCAAACTCAAACACTGCCAGTAGGAATGTAAACTGGTACCATCCTCCAGGAGAATAAAGAGCTTCTGTAGGCCTTGGCTGGATATCTCAGTTGGTTAGACCATCACCTTGATATGCCAAGGTTGAGGGTTAAATCCACAGTCAGGGCAAACATATAAGAATCAACCAATGAATGCATAAACGAGTGGAATAACAAATGGATGCTTCTCTCTTTCTCTCTAAAAATCAATAAAATAAAATAAAAAGAGAGATTCTGTGGGCTTACCTGTTCATCTGAGATATTCTGGAATGCCATTAACATATTAGGACATGTAGGAAGAAGCATCAGTAGTTCCCATACACGCCTAGAGAGGTTTTCTGCATGAAGATGAAGTTCTTCACATCTTAAGCTCTACATAAATAAGAACAACTGCTTATCAAGGTGGATCAGTAAAAAAAACCAAAAAAAAATCCCTAAACTTAAGTTCAATTTTTTTGCATAAAATCACTAATGATCAAGTTTGATAATACTTTATAATCTTACTATAACAGTGAGAAATAAACTATGTACATAAATACATTTATCAATAAATTATGTCAAAGTTACAGTCTTTCAACTTGTTATTGAACACTTTTCTGGGAAGAAAAGTGACCTTTAATTCTAGCCCTTTTTCTTAGGAAACTTTCCAAATCACAGTGAAAATGTCTGTTTTATAAAGACATACAAGTAAATTTCAATAGGACTATCAACTACGTCCCCTTTGCAGGTTACTATTCTAAGTACTATGAAGACATGGTGGATTAAGTCCTTAACCTTATATTTGGGAAAAGAGTATACCTGTTCCTCTTATTTTGCCTATCCATACCTATATTTTATTCTCAGACAAGCAGAGATTAAGAGGAAATGAAAAATTTTTAACAATCTATTTTTCTCCACTATCATTTGTTAAATTTGACTCTATAAGGTGTTGAAATAATATTTAAGTATGTTTCAGGAAATATGCAAGAAATGAATGGGCAAGATTCCTGATTTTTTCTTTCTAGTTATAGCAGAACCTCAAGGGTTAAATAAGCAGCAAAAGCTCATTTATAGTTTTGGATTTTCCACAGAGTATGAATTTGTGTATTATTATTCTACCACTGCTGTTGTCATTCATTTTTTAAAATATAATACATAGTCGAAAACCAAGATGGCGGCATAGGTAAACACCTGAAATTGCTGCCTCGCACAACCATTTCAAAAACACAACTAAAAGGCAAAACGGACATCATCCAGAACCACAGGAAGGCTGGCTGAGTGGAAATTCTACAACTAGAAGGGAAAAGAAAAGCACACTGAGGCTTGGAGGAGGTGCGGAACCAAAGTGCAGAGGTACGGAGGCGCACGTGGAAAGGGCTGGCAACTGAGGATGCGGTTGTCTTTTTCAATCGGGAGGGAGGGACAAGCTCCCGACTGCTCTGAACTCCAGTTCCGGGTGAGTCTTGGGGAACTCACACTCATACAAGGAGAAACTGAACTGTCTGGCAGCGGGCAGAACTCGAGGGCGGCTTTCTCTCAGAGGTGCTTGCAGTGATTTCTGCAGGACACTGAGACCCAGGACCCCCGGAGACCCCGCCCCACCCAAGATGTGCTCAGAGGCTTTTGCATATGAATGGCCTGACCCTGTGAGATCTAAAATTACCTAACAAACTGCAGCTGAGTCAGAGAGACCCAGAACTTCCAAAAGAAGGCCCAAGGCCCCACAGCAGCTTGCATTGCTTCACAGCTGGGCCTCATCTGGGTACCTCCAAACCCCAAACAAAGAAGAGGAATCTGCAGATCTCTCCATAGCTCCTGCTGGGTAGCCTCAAGCAGAGGCTAAATTAGCACCTCCTTAGAGAAACAAGAGCCAGTGTACCCAGTGGTCAGAGTGGGACCATCCAGATTACAACTCCTCAGATCGATAAGGGACACACACAGAGAGCAGACTCAGTGAGTACCAAAGCCCCACTAAAGCAAGTCTTGCCCCATAAGGGTGTCTCCAGCAAAGAAGTTCTCCCACCGTAGACACAGCTGATTCTCACAGCCACTTGGCCTGGAGGTCAATTCCTCCCATTGATACCTACAATAATCAAGGCTTAACTATAATAAGACTGTGCACACAGCCCACAAAGGGGTGCACCAAGAGTGCCCACCTCAGGTAATTGGGGAGGCTGAGCCACTGGGCCCTATAGGACTACCTAGGACAGAAAGCCACTCTATCAACACAGGGAAGCATAAAAAATGCGGAGACAAAGAAACAGGTCACAAATGACAGAAATGGAGTAAAGCAAACTACTGGATATAGAGTTCAAAACCACGGTTATAAGGTTTTTCAAGAATTTTCTAGAAACCACCAATAAATTTAGTGAGACCCTCGATAAATCTAGTGAAACCCCCGAGGATATGAAAAAGGACCAACTAGAAATTAAGCATATCGCTTCTCGGCCTTTTGGCTAAGATCAAGTGTAGAAATTAAGCATACACTGACTGAAATAAAGAATATCATACAGAGATCCAATAGCAGACTAGAGGATCGCAAGAATCAAGTCAAAGATTTGAAATACGAAGAAGCAAAAAACACCCAATCGGAAAAGCAAAAAGCAAAACGAATCCAAAAATATGAAGATAGTGTAAGAAGCCTCTGGGACAACTTCAAGCATACCAACATCTGAATCATGGAGGTGCCAGAAGAGAGAGAGCAAGATACTGAAAACCTATTTGAAGAAATAATGATAGAAAACTTCCCCTACCTGGTGAAAGAAATAGACTTACAAGTCCAGGAAGTGCAGAGAACCCCAAACAAAAGGAATCCAAAGAGGACCACACCAAGACACATCATAATTAAAATGGCAAGAACAAAAGACAAAGAGAGAATCTTAAAAGCAGCAAGAGAAAAAGTTACCTAAAAGGGAGTACCCATATGATTGTCAGCTGATTTCTCAACAGAAACTATGCAGGCAAGAAGGGAGTGGCAAGAAATATTCAAAGGGATGAATACCAAGAACCTACAACCAAGATTACTTTATCCAGCAAAGCTATCATTCAGAATTGAAGTTCAGATAAAGAGCTTCACAGACAAGAAAAAGCTAAAGGAGTTCACCACCACCAAACCAGTATTATATGAAATCCTGAAAGGTATTCTTTAAGAAGAGGAAGACTATTTGCAGCAGCATGGATGGAACTGGAGACCATTATGCTAAGTGAAATAAGCCAGTCAATGAAAGAAAAATACCACATGACCTCACTCATTTAAGGCCTGGGAGGGTTGCAGGGGGGGTGGGGGTGGGGGGGAATAAGAGATCAACCGAAGGACTTGTATGCATGCATATAAGCATAACCAATGGTCACAAGACACTGGGGGGTAGGGGAGGCAGGGGGAAGATCAAGGGCGGGGGGGGGGGGGGAGGAGACATATATAATAGTCTTTGTAATACTTTAAGCAATGAGACAAAATTAAAATATCTATATATATATATCTATATATATCTATATATATATAAATATATATAAATAATACATAGTCTAAATTGCCAAAGGACTCTTTTATACTCTGAGGCCCAGTGCACAAAATTCATGCACGGGGGAAAAGGGGTGTCCCTCAGCCCAGCCTGCACCTCTCCAATCTGGGACCGCTGGCTCCTAACCGCTCACCTGCCTGCCTGCCTATTTGCCCCTAACTGCTCCCCTACCAGCTTGATCACCCCTAACTCTCCTCTGCTGGCCTTATCACCCCAACTGCCTCTGCCTCACCCCATACCCAGGACCCAGGATTCCCTCTTATAGCCAGTCGCAGGCACCCAGGACCTGGGCTTCCCTCCCTCTGGCCAGCCACAGACACTCAGGACACAGGCCGGCTTTGCCTGGGCCAGCCCCAGCCACAGGGGACCATGGGCAGACGGCTTTACCTGGGCCACAGCTGCAGGTGCCTGGGACCGCGGGGCGGGCAGCTTGTCCCTCTCCTGGGCCGCAGCCCCAGCCGCTGGCACCTGGGACCACGAGGCATGCGTCTTGTCCCTCTCCCAGCCCGGGCCGCAGGCACAGGCGCAGCCACTGGCACCCGGGACACAGCCTCAGCTACTGGCGTCCAGGACCGCAGGACAGGCAGCTTGTCCCTCTCCCGGGCCACAGCCCCAGCTTCTGGCACCCGGGACCACAAGGCCTGGGTCTTGTTCCTCTCCCAGGCCGGGCCACAGGCACAGGCACAGCCGCTGGCACCCGGGACCGCAGGGCGGGTGGCTTGTCCCTCTCCCGGGCCGCAGCCTCAGCTACTGGCGTGTGGGACCACGGGGCAGTTGGCTTGTCCCTCTCCTGGGCTGCAGGCGCAGCCACTGGTGCCTGGGACCGCAGGGCGGGTGGCTTGTCCCTCTCCCGGGCCGCAGCCTCAGCTACTGGCATGCGGGACCACGGGGCAGTTGGCTTGTCCCTCTCCTGGGCTGCAGGTGCAGCTACTGGTGTCTAGGACCGTGGGGCAGGCGGCTTGTCCCTCTCCCAGGCCGCAACCTGGCTAGTCCCCATTCCTCTCTCATGAGCTCATTTGTGCCTGGCTGGTCCCCTTCCTCTCTCACGTCATTTGTTCCTGGCTGGTCCCCATTCCTCTCTCCCCAGTGTTGAGTGTCTGAGCTGCTAGAGTGTGATGCCCATTTGCATATTAGCTCTTTATTATATAGGATAAAAAGTAATTTGGTTCTTTTTGTATAATGGTAAATAGCTAGTATACTCTGAAGACAAGGGAATGTTAGAGATGGAGTTTCAAGGTAAATTTTGCTTTTCATAATCCTAATAAAGATAGAGAAAGGCCCTGGCTGGTTTGGCTCAGTGGGTAGAGCACCAGCCTGAGGACCAAAAGGTCCTGGGTTCCATTCTGTTCAAGGGCACATGCCAGGGTTGTGGGCTCGATTCCCAGTGGGGTCTTGCAGGAAGCAGCCAATCAATGATTCTCTCTCATCATGAGTGTTTCTATCTCTCCCTCTTCCTTCCTCTCTGAAATCAATAAAAATATATTTGGGGGAAAAAAGAAAGGAAGGAAGGAAGGGAGGGAGTGAGGGAGGGAGGGAGGGAAGGAACCCAACTAATAATTTTGCTTTAGTTAGGAAAATGGTAGTGAAAGTTCTTCAGTAAAAATAGAATTTATTATTTTGTAAACTCACAGTTTTTATATAAGAAAAAGATGGAATTCTGCAAAAAACTATTTGAAGAAAAAAAAAATTTCACCCATCTTATATGACTATATTCTATGTTATGTCTCTAAGGCCCTACAATATGAGTCATACACAGTGAATGTCCTTTATTTTTATCTTGAGGCCAAATCAGTCTTCAACAAGATACTCAACATCAACAATGATTTACTTACCACAAATAAAATCCAATAAAATACCTGCTAATGAAATAAATTCTTCCTTTTTGTTTAGGTCTCATGTGGACTATTCCAATGGCCTATTAACTGGTCCTCCACCTCTGGCCTTTGGAATGGCCTATTAATTGGTCCTCCAGTTGTGGTATTTGTTTTCTCTCAGACATCTTCCACACTAATACCTAAACCTAGTTTCTAAAAGCCCAGACCCAGAAAATGATCCCATGTTGTTGCTAAAAAGCCTTCCATGATGATCGCCATCCTTTTTACAGAGAATAAAAAACTCATGCAATCCTTTGTGGTACTGTTTACGATCTCCTTTTCTGTCCTTATATTTGTACTAGAGGCCCGGTGCACAAGTTCATACATGGGTGGGGTCCCTCAGGGTGGCCTCAAGAATGGGGCTGAAACTGGCTCTCCGACATCCCCCAAGGGGTGCCAGGTTGCGAGAGGGCACAGGCCAGGCCGAGGGACCCCACCGGTGCATGATCAGGCCAGGGAGGGGCCCCAGGAGGGCTCCAGGGTGTGTCCAGCCTTGTCTCGCCCAGTCCCAATCAGGGCCAGCTGGCTGGGGAGGGACGCGGGAGGTTGGCCAGCAAGGGAGGGAGGGTTTCAGGGCATGTCCGGCTCATCTCGCTTAGTCCCGATAGGCCGGACCCCAGCAGCAGGCTAACCTACCGGTTGGAGCGTCTGCCCCCTGGTGGTCAGTGCATGTCATGGCAAGCGGTTGAGCGGCCTTAGCAAATCATTAGCATATTACGCTTAGATTGAACAGTTGACTGGTCATTGGACGACCAGACACTTAGCATATTAGGTTTTATTATACAGGATTACACTATACTCATAGTCCCAAGCTTTTCAAACATGCCATTTACTTTTCTGTAAATCTGTAATGTTTCTCTTTACTTTTATCAGCAGCTGGACCCTATATTAAAGACTCTCCTTTTGCAAAATCCTCTCCCCAATTTTTTCCTCTCCCCTATATTCCCATAACATCCTACAGAGAAGAGTAGCACCCTTCTGGAACACTGGAGAACTCTTGTAATTATCTTTCTCTCTTTTAAACTGCCAATATAGTCCTCAAAGGAGTAAAAAGTCATTAAGCCCTGTCCTAGTAATAGCTCAGTTTGGTTGGAGTGTCATCCCATACACTGAAAGGTTGTGTGGTTCAATCCCTGGATCAGGATGTGTCCGGGAGGCAACCAATGGATGTTTCTCTCTCTAAAAATAAATAAAAATAATATCCTCGGGTGACGATTTTTTAAAAAAAGTCATTATTTGTGGCATAAAACTTAAAAGGTGAGGAAATGGGAGTTCATGGGCATCTATTATTAGTTACTCTGCTTGAACAAAAGGGAGATTTCTTAGGAATTAAGAATGTACCCACTCATGGTGGACTCCCAGCTGCCTGTAGTGAACTTTGGCTCCCTGCAACCCGTGCTGCCTCCTGCCCCACTTCTCTGTTACCTGTGGGTCTACTCTACAGCCCTCACCCACCTTTTGTCGGTGCGGCCCGCACCTGCTCCTTGGATGCTGCCTTCACCTGCCAGGCCCTTAACCCTAGCTGGGGCAAGCAGAGCTTCACCCAGTAGAATTAAAGCTATGTCAGGATTATCGAAAACTGAGCAGCAACCTTGGGGGACCCAGGTCATCATGTTCTCCCCCAACTGCAAAGTCTTTCTCTGGTCTCAGTTACCATCTCAAAGCCCCACCCATCACCTACAGCGGTGTCTTCCGCACCCAGCACATTGACTTTCAACAGCAGGCCTCCCACTTGATGTCCTACACTGGATGCTGAAGCCCTAGCAACAGGCGGATCCATCTTCCTGAGAAGGGTCTTCCCCATGGGCAGAAGAGCTTGGGCCTCCCAGGGACAAGGAGCCTAGATTGCCTCCACCCTGAGAGGGTTCCCCTTGCCCCTAGCCCCTCAGGCCTTTTATACAGACTATAAATATGTAAGGGGAAAAGGGGTGGCTGAGAGGGGCTATGGCGCTGGGGCCTCGCTTCCCCTCCTCCCTGCTCCCCTGGTCCCCTATCCCTGGGTCCATTTGTTAAAAAAATAATAATAAAAAAAAGAATGTACCACTACAAAAGAAACCAAACTATCAGGAATAGAGGACTCAGTGGCTACCACTGTATCCATGATCACATACATTTTAGAAACATAGAAAGAAGTCACTTATTCTTGAGAAAGAAAGAACAGTAGCCATTAAAGGCAAACTACTATTAATTGCCACTCTACCTCAAAATAATGATTCTCTGGATGAGAAAATCAATGAACCCCTTAGGATAAACCCATTTAAAGGTATTAAAAAAGTCAACGGACTGAAAGGATTCCTTTAGGTGATCTTATACACACTACTGACTTTAAATACCATCTTATTAGTGGTAACCCACAAACTTACTTTTCTAGATCAAACCTTTTCTCTGAGTTCCAAATTCATATATCCAAATGCTTACTTAACATCTACACTTCATATCCCACAGGCTTCCATTCTTAATTTCAAATGGAATCTACCTAGTTTCTCAAGCCAGAAACCTGTTTTCCTTCTTCCTAAACCCAAGTCTATCCCTACTCTTAAGCCAATGCACCACCAACCTTGATGTTTTGACCTACTATCTACTTTCTGTCCACTGCCACCATTCTATTTCAGGGTACCATCAATGCTCCCTTGGACGAGTGCATTGGGTTCTTTACACCTTTCTCTATCCTTGCCAAGCAAACCTATTACTTTTAAAACAGAAATCAGAACATGTGTGCAAAGCAAACCTACTACTTTTATTTATTTATTTTTTAAATATATTTTATTGATTTTTTACAGAGAGGAAGAGAGAGAGATAGAGAGTTAGAAACATCGATGAGAGAGAAACATCGATCAGCGGCCTCCTGCACATCCCCCACTGGGGAAGTGCCCACAACCCAGGTACATGCCCTTGACCGGAATCGAACTCGGGGCCTTTCAGTCCGCAGGCCGACGCTCTATCCACTGAGCCAAACCGGCTTCGGCAACAAACCTATTACTTTTAAAACAGAAATCAGAACATGTGTGTTCTGCTTAAGATATTTTAATGTTCTCCACTTTACTTTGAGTAAAATGGAAATAGCTTGCAATGGCTAGTCTGGCTATGCTTACCTTTCCAATCTCATTCCTCTCATCACCCTTCACATTCTACTCACTAGCTCTCTAACAATTCCTAGACCTGTTTAACTACTTATCATATCAAATTACTCTATCCCAGTGGTCGGCAAACTGCGGCTCGCGAGCCACATGTGGCTCTTTGGCCCCTTGAGTGTGGCCACGAAGTTTCAATCGCACTGTATGTGTGCTCCCGCACATGGTATTTTGTGGAAGAGCCACACTCAAGGGGCCACAGTTTGCTGACCACTGCTCTATCCAAATCATTTCTCATTCAGCTGGCTCTTTACCCATCATCCCCAGATTACATATAGTCTACCTCAGAGAAACCTTCCCTGACCAAATAATATATAAATGAATCTCTATCACCATGTCCTAATAATTCACGTCTCAGTCTTAGCACCTATCTCTATCTATGATTTACCTGTGAGTTGATCTGAAACTATTTATCTGTTCGACATTATCAATGATCTGTCTTCCCCACTGGATTCAATAAAAACCCGAAACTATGCTTAGTTTGATCCCTGCAAAACAATACTTTAAACAGTATGCCTAGGTCATATCAGACACTTAAACAGCTAATGAATGAATAATTGGTTTCCTAAGTTTTACTGCTCTTAAGAGATTTATGAGAAAATTATTTTCCACTCCACAGAAACACACAAAAAAACTTTGTGGAAATGAAATGATGAAGTCACCTCACGATCTTCTACTGCCACTTTTCCTGAAGGTGGTTTAAATGATGCAAGCATCTCTAATAAATCAAAAAGAGTAGTTAAATGCGGTTCTTGTAAAAGCAAAAGCATCGGAATGTTGTCCTTCTGAGGGGGTGGTAGGCAAGATGCTGGCAGCTGAACACCTTCCCCTTTCCGTTCTCTCCTCGGTGCACCCAAAGATACGAAAACCATCTGTTAAAAGAGAAGCAATAGGGAAGAAAAACAAATAAAAAGTGTGTGTGTGTGTGTATCTCAAGTTTTTGGTTTAATAAAGTTCTTAAGTATAAAATAACTTCATTATGATTTTAATATAACAATAGCAGGAAGAACTGTTTTCACACTATACCTTCAAATATTCCACTACTGACTATAATAGGAAATAAATTAAAACTCAATTCACATTTATATGTACCTGCATATCTTTAAAACCAAGCTCATGAAGTGCTTTTTCATCATAATCTGTTGTTAACTCATGTCCAGATGAAATCATCCTGACGGGTCCCATAAGGCCTCCTTAAAAATAGGAGAAAACTTAAGTGAACACTTTTATAAGAGTTAACTTATTTGGTGACATGAAAATATGGTTATAAGAATTAATCTCACTGTACATTAAGCTTACTATAATTATTGAGTAAAGTGGAGACAGTATTAAGCATCCTGCATTATTTTCTGTTGTACAAGTTAACCTTATGCAGTGAAAAATTAAAATGAAATTATCAGTTAGCATCAATTTAACGAGATCAATTCCCTTCTGCTTAACACCTTGCTGACCAGTCATGAGATAAGTCATGTCTGCACTTACGTTAAGTAATTTTAAAACTCTACATTACTTTCACACCTTACTGGTCAGCAATGTTTGGACATGGAACCATGAGTTATCTGATGACCAGTCAGCAAGTTGTTAACAATGTGAAAAATTTTACAAGTAAAAAACACTCTTGGAGCTTTATGGGAACCTAAGCATTTGCTCTAGCAACACATGAAGACGAATCAGATTTAGTAATGCATTAATTACACAAGTAACCATCCAGTACTGTTTAAAATATATTTTTATTGATTTCAGAGAGGAAGTGAGAGAGATAGAAACATCAATGACGAGAGAAAATAATTGATCACCTGCCTCCTGCATGCCCCACACTGGGGATCGAGCCCACAACCTGGGCATGTGCCCTGACCAGGAATTGAACCCTGACCTCCTGGGCACAGCAAGTGTTTTTAATGATCGAGTTTTCTCTTCCCTGTTCTTGCACACCAAAGCAAAGTAAAATAAACTATAATGAAGGAAAAAAATTAAAAAGCAAAGCTCTGACATGAAAAAATATGTATGTTACAACATCCCAGATTATGATAAATTCAAGAAAGTCAATAGATTGAGTCATTTTATTCCCAGAAAGCATGAAGTCCTTTTTGCTGCCCACACCTTCAATTCATTTCCCACCATCATCCCTACCTAAATATGCTTTAGCCAATTAGCCTCCTTACTCTTTCTTGAAAATACCAAAAATGTTCCCATTTCAAGACCTACAATGTTCCTCCACAGAAATTCAATAGCTCATTCCCTCACTTGCTTCACGTATCTAGCAAATGTAAGGCCTTTCGCCTACCCACTCAATCCACTATTTTATTTTTTTGAAAAGCAAGCAAAAATGTACTGACCACAGCAAAAATATACTTAGGGCAACAAAACAAGGAAGGGCACACAAGAGAGCCTATGCTGGGCTGCTCTGGCTCACTGGGAAGTCAAAGAAAAGAAGGCCGTGGAGACATGTTCAGGGGGTTAGCCTGGGACTAGGTGCCTCTGCCCATTGCTCCCCTGATTGCAAGTCTCATAGGATCCCTTAGAGGTTAGGGGACACGTGCCTTGTGGGGGAAGAAGAGGGAAAAGGAATGGCACAGGCATGCTCCCTGGAGGGAGAGGGCCTCAATTCACTATTAATCCCTTATTCTGCTTTATCTTTCTTTAAAGCACTTAATAGCATCTGACATTATATATTTATCTGTTGCTCCTCCATAAAAAAAAAAAATCCAATTTCACAAAGGCAGAGATTTTATTATGTTTACAGCTGTAATCCCCAGTACAAGAACATAGCAGGCATTCAAATTAAATAGTTTAATCCATACATTTCTTTTTAAAAAAGGAAATGCTTAACAGAGTAAGAAAATTAAGGGGTTCCAGTTAAGATGGCAGCATAGGTAAATGCAGTACTCGAATTCTCTCACAACCACATCAAATTTACAAATAAACTACAGAACAACCATCATTCACAACAGCCTAAAATCTAGCTGAACATAAGTCCTACAACTAAGTATATAAAAAAAACCACATCAAAACTAGTAGGGGAGGCGGAGACAGCGAACAGGCTGGCTCCACACCCATGTCCTTTTGATAAAAATTGTGAGGGATATCGCAGCTGCAGAGGTAACCCCTTGAGGAGCAAAGGTCCCAGCCCCACATTAGAAACCCCCCCCCCCCCCCGCCACCCACCAGCTTAGGGTTCCAGTGCCAGAAAAAAAAGGCCCCATAACTTCTGGCTATAAAAACCAGAGGGGATTATGGCAGAGTATGACAGAGAACTGCTGGAGTCTCAGACATTCCTCTTAAAGGATCAGCACACAAACTTACTCAAACTAACTCCCTCTGGGCTCCAATACTGGGGAAGCAGCTAGAAAGGCACCAGGGACATATGGGAGGAAATGAATTGTCTGGTATCAGGACAAGAGCTGGAGGGGCAGCTTTCTCCGGACCGAAGTCTTAGCAGAGGTCATTCATTTTTCCTTTAGTGAGCCCTCCCCTCAAGGAGCTGGCAAACAGGAGCCATATCTGCGTCTCCCTCAACCTGGCTCACACAGTTCACTCTGCCCTGCTGATTCCCTGAGACCACACCCCAAACAACTTTTGGTCCCATTCAAGCCATTCCCAGTGGCTTTTACATACAAACGGCCCTATTTTTTTATTTTATTTTTTTCAGAGAGGAAGAGAGAGAGAGAGAGAGAGAGAGAGAGGAAGAAAAGAGAAACATTGATTGGTTTTCCCCTGCATGTGCCAGACTGAGGACTGAACTGTGATTTCCTGGTTCATAGGTTGACACTCAATCACAGAGCCACGCTATTTGGGCCAAAGAGCCCCTCTTGATTAATGATTCAAACGTTCCTAAAATCTCTCAAACAAGCAGCATCTAGCTAGGCATACAGTGTACCTCTCACTAAGTGGCCTCAAGCCCGGCACTAGTAATATGGCCTCTCCTGAGCACCTCCAAGCCCAGCACAAGTAGCAACCATTGCAGATTGTTTACTAGCTCATTCCAGGTGGTCCCAGGCAGAACACAGATGGAGCTGACCTTGGCCTGCACCTTCCAGCAGGCCCCAAAGACAGCACACCTGCTGGAGAGCTTCAGGCCACATTGAAGGACCACCTACCCTCTTCCACAAAGGACACACAAAAGGGGAAGAACTCAGCAGGCACCAGAAACCTGATGAAGTAAATCCTGCTCTGTGAGGAAATCCCATGCACAGCTGATCCTCCACGGTGATCGTAGTTAGCCCTATGTCCAAATCATGTGATCCAGGAAGCTTTGCCACTGGACCCTATAGGACATCTACTACATAAGGCCATTAATAAGCCCAGGAAGCATAGCAGCTCTACCTAATAACACAGAAACAAACACAGGGAGGCAGACAAAATGAACAGACAAAGAAATGTGTCCTAAATGAAAGAACAGGAAAAAACTCCAAAAAAGAACTAAATAAATAGAACTAAATAGAGACAAGCAATCTACTAGATACAGAGTTCAAAACGCTGGTTGTAAGAATGAACAAAGGGGAAGAGTAGATGAACTTAGTGAGAACATCAACAAAGTAATAGGAAACATAAAAATGGAGATAAAACAGACTCAAACAGAAATAAAGAATTCATTAACGGAAATGTAGAATACATTATAGGGAATCAACAGTGGAGAAGATTAAGCAGAGGATCAAATCAGAAATTTGAATGATAAGAAAGCAGAACACAATCAGAACAGAAAAAAATTTTTTTCCAAAAAAAATGAGGATAGTAGAAGGAGCCTTGGGACAACTTCAGCGTTTCCATCACGGGGGTACCAAAAGGAGAAAAGAGAGAGAGCAAAGGATCAAGAAACTATGTAAAAAAAAAAACTATGTGAAGGCTGAAAAAAATGGCGACCAGCAGGAAGGTAGGGAGGGAGAGAGTGTGAGGAAGTGATAGAGGAGTGTGTGGACGTGTGTGGTGTGTGTATATGAGCTAGGGACAGTTAGATTCTGCAGGTCTTCTAAGGGGCTGCTAAACCGGGCAGTCTTAGACAGTGGAGTCCCGCTCCCTGCACGGACACTCCTGGGCGGCCAGCACAGGCACTGCAACCATGCCATCTTGGGAAACAGAGCTGCTTGAGACTAGGATCCTGGCCTCATCACCACCCAGTCTGATCTCAGACGCATACCAGGACCCTGCAGCCACTGGGGACAGAGAACTGTGACCACAGCTACACACCTGCGGACACCAAAAGTTCAGAAATCCCCACGGCAGATCCGTGAGTAACAGAGCCCATCCCCCCTACCCGCAGGCTTGCGGGCAGCGCCAGAGTAACTAACTGATAGACCCACCCCTTGCCAGGGCCTCAGCGCTCCAGGAACTTTAGCCTGGAAGTGTACGAGCACCTTGGAACTGATCCCGCATAGGGCCGGGTTCAGGAGCCCTGGGCTGGGAGCAATCGCGCGAACACCGGGATCTGGTCCTGCTCGAACTGCCTGCTCCAGGAGCCCTGGGCTGGGAGCAAACGAGCAAACCCCAGGAACTGATCCTACGCGCACTGCTGGCTTCTGAGCCCTGGGCTGGGAGCAAACGCGCGAACCCCAGGAACTGACCCTACGCGCACTACCGGCTTCGGAGCCCTGGGCTGGGAGCAATCGCGCGAACACCAGGAATTTGTCCCTCGTAGCACAGGCCCAGGGACCCCGATTCTCTGGGCAGGAGGCAGCACCAAGCACCAGTGACTTGACTGTGTTTCTTATCACCTGCGCCTGAGATCCTGATTCCCTGTGCATTCATACTAAGAGCCAGTGACTCCAATTCCTGGTGCAAGGGCACACAGGGACCCTGATTCTCAAGGCAAGGTTGCGCGAAGCAACAGAGACTCTGATACTGGATTCTTAGGGAACCCTGACTCCTGGCGCACACTAAGGGGCTCTGGTTTTCAACACGCTTCAGGGGGGGGTCTCTGTTCCAGCACGGTGCAGGCAGGGTCCCTGATTCTAAGGGCGCGTACGAGGCCACATTGAGCACTGACAACACTGACTCTGAGCAAGCCTGGTTCCCACCAACCCAAAACAACCACACATCTTAGTGTCAGAGCTCTTCAGTGACACTAGGGTGGTGGGAGGTTCCCACTGCACACGGCCCAGGCCCACGCAACTTGACGTTTGAACCATCGGGAGATAATCAGAATGAAGAGACGACACAACACCCAGAGGAAAGACAATGAATGAGGAGTCGCCAAGAAAGGAAATTAATGAAGTTGAAGCATGCAACATGACAGAAAAAGAATTCAGAATAATGGTTGTACAATTCATTCACCGGATGGATGAGAAAATCAACAACCTATGCAAGAATCAGGAATAAATGAAAAGTGATATAGCTACAATCAAAAACACCATGGAAAGTTTCAACAGCAGACTAGAAGAAGCAGAGGACCGAATTAGTGAGTTAGAAGATAAGGCAGAGAAACAAGCTCAATCTGAACAGCAACTGGAGAAAAAAATTAAAAAGCAGGAGGAGAGCCTAAGGGAGCTTCGGGACAACATGAAACGAAGTAACATACGCATAATAGGGCTGCAAGAAGGACAAGAAGAGCAGCAAGGATTAGAAAATCTATTTGAAGAAATAATGTCAGAAAACTTCCCAGATATGGGGAAGAAAAAAGTTACACAAGTACAGAGAGTCCCAGGCAAGATGAACCCCAAAAGACTCACACCAAGACATGTCATAATAACGATGGCAAATGTACAAGACAAAGAGAAAATCTTAAAGGCTGCAAGAGAGAAACAGAGTGTTACCTACAAAAGATCCCCCATCAGATTATCAAACGATTTCTCAACAGAAACACATCAGGCCAGAAAAGAATGGACAGAAATTTACAAAGTGATGCAAAGCAAAGGACTGAATCCAAGAATACTCTATCCAGCAAGGCTATCATTCAAAATTGAAGGGGAAATAAGAAGCTTCACAGACAAAAAAAGGCTAAGGGAGTTTATCACCACCAAGCCAGCAATACAAGAAATGCTAAACGGACCGGTGTAAAAAGAAGAACTAAAAAGCCCGGAAAGAAAACAGCCACAAAAAAATAGAAATGGCTACAAACAAGTACCTTTCAATAATAACTTTAAACGTAAATGGACTAAATGGTCCAATCAAAAGACATCGAGTGGCTGAATGGATAAAAAAACATGACCCATATATTTGCTGTCTACAAGAGACCCACCTCATTAGAAGGGACTCACACAGACTGAAAGTGAAGGGATGGAAAAATTTCAGGCAAATGGAAATGAAAAAGAAGCTGGGGTAGCAATACTTATATCAGACAAAATAGACCTCAAAGTGAAGGCCATAACAAGAGATAAGGAAGACCACTTCATAATACTAAAGGGATCAATACAACAAGAGGATATAACCCTGATAAACATATATGCACCCAATGCAGGAGCACCCACATACATAAGAAAACTCCTGGAAGATATCAGGGGGGAGATCGACAACAATACAATCATAGTAGGGGACTTTAATACACCACTGACATTACTTGATAAATCCGCTAGACAAAAACTCAGCAATGAAACAGCAATCCTAAATGACTCACTAGATCAGACATCTTCAGAACACTTCACCCCAAAGCCACAAAATATACGTTCTTCTCAAGTGCTCATGGGACATCTTCAAAAATAGACCACATATTGGGTCACAAACAAAGTCTCCCCAAATTCAAGAAGATTGAAATCGTACCAAGCATCTTCTCAGACCACGATGGCATAATATTAGAAATAAACTACAATACAAACATCTCAAAATACTCAAACACTTGGAAGCTGAATAGCATGTTATTAAATATTGATTGGGCAACTAAAGGACTTGTATGCATGCATATAAGCATAACCAGTGGACATAAGACATTGGGGGATAGGGGAGGCTAGGGGACTGTCTAGGGCGGGGGGATAAAATGGACACATATGTAATACCCTTTGTAATACTTTAAGCAATAAAAATTAAAAATAAATAAATAAATAAATAAATAAATAAATAAATATTGATTGGGTTACCAATGAGATCAAAGAAGACATTAAAAACATACTGGAAACTAATGACAATGAAAACACAACAATCCAAAACCTTTGGGACACAATGAAAGCAGTCCTGAGAGGGAAGTTTATAGCTCTACAGGCCTATCTCAACAAACAAGAAAAAATGGTAGTAAATCATCTAAATCTACAGCTCAAAGAATTAGAAAGAGAGCAACAAGAAAAGCCCAGAGTGAGCAGAAGGAAGGCGATAATAAAGATTAGAGCATAAATAAATGACATAGAGACCAAAAACTATGTGAAAAAATGAAGAACTTCCCTAACTTGGTGAAGAAAATAGACCTACAAGTACAGGAAGCAAGAGAGTCCCTAACAAGATGAATCCAAAGAGGCTCACACCAAGAGAGAATCTTAAAAGTAGCAAGAGTAAAGCAGTTAGTTAGCTACAAAGGAGCTCCCATAAGACTGTTAGTTGATTTCTAAACAGAAACTTTGCATGCCAGAAGGGAGTGTCAAGAAATATTCAAAGTGATGAAAAGGACCTACAACCAAGATCATGCTACCCAGGAAGGCTATCATTTAGAATCCAAGGCCTGATAAAGAGCTTCCCAGACAAATGAAAACTAGAGTTCTTTACCACCAGTATTACAAGAAATGTTAGGGTCTGCTTTAAGAAGAAGAAAAATAAATTTAAAAATACAATTACTTTAAATGCAAATGGATTAAATACTCCAATCAAAAGACACATGGATGCTGAATGTATAACAAGGCCCTTACATATCAAGACACACATAGACTAAAAGTAAAGGGATGGAAAAGATATTTCATGAAAATAGAAACAAACAAAAAGCTGTGGTAGCAAAACTCACACCAGACATAATAGGTCTAAAAAACAAAATAAAGCAGAAGAGAGACAGACTCACAGATACAAAGATTTTGGTGAGAGGGGTAAAAAAGGTGAAGGGTTTCAGAAGTACAGCGTAGGGAACATAGTAAATAATATTGTAAAAAATGTTTGATTTCAGATTGGTACTAGATTTATCAGGGTGATCACTTAGCCAATTATATAATATCTAATCACTGGGCTGTATACCTGAAATTAATATAGTATTGTATGTCAACTCTAATTAAAAAAAAATTTTAATAAAAAAATGAATACAAAATTTAAGTAAAATAAGATATTTTACTTATTTCATTGAAACGTAAATAAATATTGTCAATTTTTATAAACTTAGTGTAGATAAACTCCACAGGCTGGGCACTAAACAGCTATTTTCAGAAATGAGTGAAACAGGACTACTGCTTTGTGTATCGACACATAAGAGACCTGGAGAACATTATGCTAAGTGAAATAAGCCAGTCAGAGAAAGATAAGCAAAACAGAGCCAGACTCATAGAGAGCAGGCAGATAGCAGCACTGGGCGGGGCGGGAGGGGGGACAGGACAGTGGAAGGATTCAACAAAAAAATGAGAGAAAACTGATGGACATGGACTAGAGTGTGGTGATTGCAGGGGCGGAGGTGGTAGAGGGCATAGAGGGGATAAAGGTGATAGAAAAATAAAATCAAAAATAAAATGTGAATGAATGAGGTAACTTTCTATACGCACTAATATGGAATGTTCTCTAAGAATGTTAAGTACTATAAGGAAAGGACAGAGAGTATAAATAGAATGCTACATTTGTATTTTAAGAGTGTGTGTGTGTATATATATATATGTGTATATGTGTGTGTGCGTGTGAGTGTGTGTGTGTGTCTACCTATATCTATATGAATATGCTTACATTATATCTTGGTATCTTCTGAAGGAAGTGTAGGAAACTAATAACATCTACCTTAGCAGGAGAGAAAAATTGATGCTTTAAAGATCAGAGTAAAAGGGAGACTTTTCAACACCTACTGTGCCAAGAATATTTATTCATTATTCAAGAAAACATTTGAGATCTGCTACTTTAGAAGATATACATGGTTTCATCTTAATTAAGCACACTGTAGTAAAATGGTTGGCTCTTTACTAAAAGAGGTCAAAGAATTATCATTCTGCACATAATCATGTTAAAAATCCTAAAAACAAGCTTTAATACTGTAAGATTTTCCCCCTAAATATGTATTTAGTCTGTTATGATTTCAGACCCTTAAATTTTAAGAAAAATTAACAGCTTTTATCATCAATCCTCTGATTAGCTCAGATTTTATATGTTATAGAAAGACACTAGAAATCACTAGTCCTTGCCCACCCTGTGAGGCTTAGTTGTTGAGCCTTGGTCCATGAACCAAGAGGTCATGGTTCAATTCCCAGTCAAGGTACATGCCCAGGTTTCGGGCTCCATCCACACTAGGGGACATGCAGGTGGCAACCAATCGATGTTTCTCTCTCATCAATGTTTCTAAGTTGCTATCCCTCCCTCATCCTCTCTCTAAAAACCAGTAAAATATATGTTTTTAAAATGTACTAGTCGTAATAGTAATGTAGAAATCAAATATACTTTTCAGGCCCACATGAAAAATTTCTTAATATGATACTTTTTTGGAGGGAAGGGGAGAGACGCACAGGTGGAATTGAAGGGTGCATTATTTTCATATGCTATGAAGAATAACAAAAACAAAATATATCTAAATGGCAAAACAAATTATTGATTACCAAGTAGTACATGGAAACAAATTATTATTTCCCACAGTGCTCATCAAATAACCTCCAAAAATAGAAATTTTCTTAAAAAGGGAGAGAACATGTTTACAAGTAACATCTGAAGTAACTCTTAACTCCTGCTTAAGAATGAATGGCATACCACGAGTAGGGGAAGGTGAGTGGGAGCCACAGACATGGTTGGTAGTCTTCAAAGAAGTAAAGCTTCAAAGTTGTTATTATAATGCTACCTAAGAAATATGAAAATTGGAACTTACCAGGAAACTCTCCCTTTCGGCTGCTTTGACCAAATTCCTGAAGCTGAGCTTGTTGATTTATTTGTTCTTTCTGTAAATTTTCATACCAATGAGTTACTTCAGCCCTAAGATCTGCTACCTGGTCACTAGGATACATTTCAATAGTCATCTGAAATATGAGATGCAACCAATTTAAAAATACAAAAAGAACAGATATTTGAACTGGGAAATGTTATCAATTTGAAAACTAACATTATGCAACTACCTTATCAGGAAGTCCAGCTGGCTGACAGACAACTCTTAACGGCAGGGATTGTTTGTCACTCAATGCTTTCAAATGACTACTAATTCCAGTGCCTTCAATTTGCCACTGTCTGAGATGATATGCAAACCTAAAACACACAAAAACCACATATAAGAAGGATATCATTTCAAAACATTTTAATATTACTGAAGTTTTTATTATTTCACAAAATGAAAAAGCCCACTAAAGGTTCTAATATATTCCAATTTAGTCTATCAATACCATTAAGTTTAATTTTTTCCCCCAAAATAAAAGCACTAAGTTTAGGTTCATCATACTGAATTAAACTTAAATAGCAAGTTGTAATTCCTACATTCAGAAGGGGGGGGGGGGGGGTACTAGAAATATTTTTTTCAGAGACAGAAGATTTTCTAGTAAATATACGTTAATCAGCCCAACAGAATTTTGTGGGCTTATTCCATGACTGCTAAAACTAAATTACGAAGACTAATATTTCAAAGGACACAGGCATCTAACATGACAATCTAAATATCTGTCAATTTTCCAAGTGATTTTTAGTAGTTGAAGACAGGATCCAGAGTACCTAAATTCAGATAAGAAAAAAATTATCAATATCTTACCTAATCATCAATTCTGGAACAGAAAGAGGGTAAGTAAGAGAATAAAATGGACTTTATTTCCTAGAAGCAGGCCAATGTCTGGCTTCTATTACTAAGCAAAAAATTAACCTTAGACAACATTTCTGGGCCCAATAATTCTTCGTTATGGGAGGAGGGGAGCTGTCTCATGCACTGTAGGATTTTTACTAGCATCCATGGTTTCTACCTGCTTACTACATGCCAATAGTAGCCCCTTCTCCCTTAAGCAATGATAATCAAAAATGTTTCCAGAAGTTACCTAATGTCCTCCAGGAAACATAATTGCTTCTGGTTGAGAACCACTGTTTTATTATAACCTTATCTTTAAAAAAAAAAAAAGAAAAAGAAGAAAAAAACCTTTAAAAGAGACACTTTTATTTGCTCTCTTAATATAAGGAATATATAAACACAATAATTACTTTATATTTTCATTCTATAAATGTTAGCAATTTTAAATAGTAGCACTGACAAAATTAAGCACTTGAAACTGTACAATGATAATGCACAAAGATTCGCATGAAAATACCTAGATAAATCATTAAACTACCTCTTAGTTTTTTTTTGTTTTTGTGTGTTTTTTTTGTTAATATATTTTATTGATTTTTTACAGAGAGGAAGGGAGAGAGATAGAAAGTCAGAAACATCGATGAGAGAGAAACATCGATCAGCCGCCTCCTGCACATCCCCCACTGGGGATGTGCCCGCAACCCAGGCACACGCCCCTGACCGGAATCGAACCCGGGACCCCCCAGTCCGCAGGCCGACGCTCTATCCACTGAGCCAAACCGGTTTCGGCATCTCTTAGTTTTTTAAATATTCAATTGTTTCCTAGTTTCTCTACTAGCCACCCATAAAATTAAATAACCTTAGTTTATTTTTAAATATGTTCTTTATCTTACAACACTGTTAACATCGTATAAGGATTAAGGGTTTGAACCAACAGGCTCTTTTTATTTTGTTGTTTGTAGACACTACAGCACAGAGAAAATTTTGGAATATATATATAGGGGTAGGCAAAACTAGGTTTACATTTTTAGTACATAAAGCACAGCTCCTTTTATTATTTATTAATTATTTCATTATTTTCCATACAAACAACTGTAAACCTAGTTTTGTCCACCCGGTATATATTTATATCATTAACAGTAACTATCTGATACTATTTTCTATAGTATTATGTTGTGTAACATACAAATTTTATGAGTATTTATTAATTTGAATACAACATCACATTTGCTTATTCTTTTATTTTTAAAAGTGGTACAAGTTACCTGGCAGTGTTTAGTTTCTGTGCAAAAATCTTGAGTTCACTACACATTCTTTAAAACCACAAAGAATTATTTAAAAAGAATTTCCACAAATTTCAACCATAATCAAAGTAAAAATTTTGCAGTACCCAAATGTTTTAATCATAGAGTCATGTTATGTATAAGGAATGCCTAGAGGACCTTCATTGTTCATTATTTCCTGATATTTTAAATAAAAATGTCAATAAATGTCAATTGTATGGCATTTTCATTATCAAACTAAGCTCTGAAGTTGAAAGAAATGATAAACTTTAACAATTTTTTTCATCATATTTTTTTGTTATTTTTCACCCAAGGATATTTTTTCCATTGATTGTTAAAGAGTGGAAGGGATGGAGGGAGGGGAAGAAAGAGAGAGAGATGGGGAAAGAAACATTGATATGAGAGAGATATCAACTGGTTGCCTCCCCAGCACACACCCACAGGGGTTGGGATTGAACCTGCAACCCAGGTACATGCCCTTGACTGGGAATCGAACTAGAGATCCTTTAGTGCATTGGCCGACACTTTAACCAGTGAGAAACACCGGCCAAGGCACAAAACAGTTCTTTATACTTTTACATTTACTCATGATTTCTACTACACAGAATTTCTTAATTAAAACTATCTACTCACCTTTCACTTCAGTCGATACATTCATAAGTGTTAATTTGCTTTATTTCTGTATTACACAGGGTATGTCTAAATTAATTATACAGATATTCATTAACAGAATTTTTTATCATGTTTCCATGGTAAATGGAAATTCAAAATTAAAATACTTTCTCCTAGTCCAGGAAGAAAAAAAAACAAAAAACAGCGAATGAAACAACCTCAACTTGGTTCAACTATGAGAGATTATTTGATCTCTTGGCGAGGGTTTTAGTGAAACCGGTTTTGGTAGTGTTTTGCCTTTTCAATCTTAGTAATACTTTGTTAGTGATGGAATTCTGACTAGAAATTCTTATTCATGCATACCTTCTCATAACCTAATGATTTTAAAGCTCTGCAATATTTACCAGGAATCTATATTGCCTATTGTACCACTATATGTTACATATTATGAACAAAAATTGCTTCTAATACTAGCACTTTCGTTTTTGGTAAGTTATGCTTTCTACCTGCCTCCCCCAAAAAACCCCTCTTTTAAGAATACTTTTGGACATGTCAGCAATAAAAAAGTCTGAAATTCATTCTAATTTGGTATAACAAAAATTACCTTCTCCTAAATGCTTCCAGATGTGTCTTCAGCATAAGAAGTCCTCTTTCTATAACAGTGAGACTTGAGTGTGATTCTTGTTCAAGACTGCTAGAAGCTATCATAAGACTCTCCATACACTTACTAATAAATTCTTGTTCCTTCTCCAAACCAGTTTTACCTGAAAATCGGATGTTTAGACATGTGAATCAATCTTATATTTTTGCTTTGCTATATAAAGAAAATTAACTGTAGCTAAACTAAAAATCTTCACATAAAAAACTATCTATTAGGGAATATTTCAAATAACTCACCATTAATATAATAGGAGTTAATATACTGGATAGCTGCTCGACTGACATCACCAGATTGTGCTCTTAAAGCAATGCCCCAAAATTGGTCCATACCACAAAGCTAAAAAAGAAAAAGGTGACAACATCTATTTTGAAGTAACTAATTTAAGAGTCATACATCAAAAAGTTTTAATATCCTATAGCAGTGATCGGCAAACTGCGGCTTGCGAGCCACATGCGGCTCTTTGACCCCTTGAGTGTGGCCCTTCCACAAAATACTGACTCTTCCACAAAATACCGACTTCTGCACATGGGCCACAAAGTTTCAATCATACTGTACATGCGTGCCCACACGTGGTATTTTGTGGAAGACCTATACTCGAGGGGCCAAAGAGCCGCATGTGGCTCGCAAGCACGGTTTGCCGACCACGGTCCTATAAAATATTTAAATGGTAATTCCTATTACTTAGTTATTAAATAACTAGAGGCCCGGTGCACAAAATTCATGTGCGGGTAGGGTCCCTAGGCCTGGCTGATGATCAGGGCTAATCAGGGCCTTCCTTCATTCCACACTGCCCCCTGGTGGTCAGCACACATCATAGCGAGTGATTGAACTCCCAGTCTCCCAAATTCCCCAGAGGACACTCTGCATATTAGCCTTTTAAATTATAGAATATAAAAAACAAGAGCAGTTGAAATTTCCTCATGTACTGAGATATAGCTGAATTGACTGTAAAAATACTTATTTATAAAGCAGTTGACTGTGTATGTGTGTGTAATGTTCAGTAACTCAAAACTTGTGACTACATAATAGTAAAAAGTCCCCAAAACATGCTACAAAAGAATAAAAACACACAAAACTATTAGCATAATAATGATTCTATGCTTTCATATAACTTACTCTGATAAAGTCACTCCTTACAGGTATTCACAGAAAAAATTTTTAAATGTTAACCCAAGTTGTCACTTAAATTTAGGTTAACTATGAGATGACAAAAAAAAAATGTTTTCCTGAAAACTACAGAAAACGTGGAGAATGGAAGTTCTTAAAAGCTGGGCGGGGTAAAGCAAGATATCCTTCTGATAAGTGACTAAACAGTCATAGTCTTTACAACATCTACATGAAAAGCAGTACTATCTCAAAATTAGAGTATGACTAGTTCTTAGATAAATCAGATCTGTCTGGTTGTCTGAAATCACAAACTGAAATTAATCATAGTACTATCAAAGTGAGAGTTAGAGCCAAAACATTAAATTTAAAAAAGAACACTATTCAAACAAGGATAGAAGAGTAGGAAGATACTATGAAAGTACTCTAGATATATTCTTTACCACATAAATTAACATCAGTTTTCTATGCCTTTGTCGCTATAACACAACTCAAACTTCTGAAGAAAAGTAATGAAAAATGTGAATGGATAATAATAAATGAAAACTATCATTAATAAGCTGGAATGTCCAATGAGGAAGACTTTCAAATAGTCTGTATCAGGAGAGTCTAGAAATAATGCATTCAACAAAACCCAGTAGCCAATCAATCAGGCAAATGGAACTCTAGAGATAAGACTAGCAACTTGTGAGAGTTTCAGCTAATAAACGGATTATATGACTCATAGTCAAAGATGACTTAGATTCTATTCCATAATAGAGGTTAGCAACAGGAGCTCTGTAACTGCCCAAGAGCAACTAAAAGTTTTGGCCTCAACAAATGGCATTAAAATTAGATTTTAGACAAATCAACCTTCTAATTGATAAAACTACTTGATAATATTACCTGGGAGTGTTTAGAGGATTAAAAGAACACTCAAATAGAATCTTCTCTATTAATCCAAGAATGTGCAACAAGTTCATTAAGCACAACCAAGATTATCATTGGTAATGAAAAGTCATCAAATTTGCTTTATAAAACTTTTATTCTAAAACCTAAGAATAAAAGTCTTCATAGTAAATTCAATGCTTGACAAATTATGTAACATAATTCAGTAATCTAATTTGAGAAATAAAAACAAAAATTCCACAAGCTAACCTAATAAAATGACAAGTCTAAATCCTTACCTCAGAGTTTGAACCACCATCATAGGCACTGGTAGCCAATCGAGCCAAGTTACATAGATGCTGAAACAGGTTTAAACCAGTCATGCTAATCGTTTCAGGTTTTAGCTGGGGCATCTTAAAAAAAAAATTTTTAAGCTGGTTTAGTGTGGTGAATTAACATTTTATTTTATTGGATTTAACTTAAGAGATTTAAATTAAACTTGATTTTACTGAAAATATTATAGAAAGAAATGTAGCAGCTCAGATTTTCAATGATAATTTTAAAAATTAAAATAGATAATTTAATGAAAATTTTATTCAGGTCATAATTAAAACAACTCTCAATTGTTTCTATTTTTATACAGAACACAGCCTCAAATCAGAGAAAACAAGTAAAAAATTTTTATCATTTAAATTTTATCATTTTTTGTATACATAGTCCATGCACATTTATGAGATGTGTAGCTACATGTATAAGTTTGTGTGTAAGTCACAGATTGAAATTAAGATAGTGAGGGTCTATTTGTAGCTTTGCTTTAGAACTACTAAGTGACTTAATTTACATATACTCATTCACATTTACTCAATTCTACCACAAAGATCATGTGAGAGTTTGCAGAGAGCCTTTACAATCTCAAAAGCATACAAATAATTTTAAAAGTCTATTTCTGTGTTATTATCAATGTCCTCAAAATTCAAATGGAAAATTAACACCTGAACCAATTGCTGCATCTGATAAAGGGGAACAAAAACTAGATAGAATGTCATTATTATCATTATAGCAATTCCTGCCTTGCCAGGGATCTACATCTACATAAATTTTGGTTTACATCTGCTAGAAGATTGGCTGAACCCACACCTATTTAACTAAGGAAGAGTCACAGAACACAACTCTACACTTGTGGGTGTGGATACACTCCTGAAAATGTAACTACAATGTTATTATTTTAAAAATAAAAGACTCCCCACATTTCTTATAAGTATTTGCCTGAATTAATACTCAACATTAATTAGCATAAATACTTTAGTTAAGGAACAGAATATTTTTGTAAATAAAAACTAAATATTCATTTTGATATAAGACAAAATGAAATGGAATCCACTGTGTTGAAGACTCTTGATATTATGTGAAAATCTAAGTGGCAAAAACTATATAAGAGCTGCTGAAAAACAGCACATTCACCTTTTTTTAAAAAAAAAAAGTGTTAAAAGATGAAAAATTAACATTACAGAGTTTAAGAGATAAAAAGGAGATATGGAAAAACAATATAAACAATAAAACTGTCAAGAAATAAAATTACCTTCTCTAGGAAAAGATGTTTGTAGGTTTCCATTCCCATAGCATGTTGATCTTTACTTCGAACTTGATTTAAAAACCAATGGAGTGCATCATCATAACACTCAGAATCTTCTACTAAACAATGCCATAAAATGTCAACTTGCTCTAAACTTAACCCTAGATAAAAATTACAAATTTTGAATCATGAAACATACAATGCTTCGATCCTAATTCAATGTATTAGCACCAATATATCAAAAAATAGATTTTTATAGCCTTTTATAAATATTATTCTGTAAAAGATTTCACATAATTATGCTTTCAAATTTAGTTAACTATAACCTATATATAAATTATCTAAAAACATACAACTTATATAATATCCTAGAAGAGTCATTTGGTCTGGAAAATCATTCTTCCTAAAGTATGAACATATTACTGTATTAAAGTACACATAATTAAAGGAAAGTAACCCCAAAAGTTGAGGAGTCAGTTCTAAGGTTTAAGCATTAAGAAAAGAGTGGATACCATGTTCAAAGCTCATTCTATGCACACAGGAAGTAAACAATGCATGCTAATAAGCATTATTTTTGTGAACTGTGAAAAAAAGGATCCTTGTGATAAAGCAAAATGGAACTGCCTGCCTAAAACAGAGAACAACAACACATCAGGGGATACAATCAGCTGGGAAGCCAAAGTAATGAGATGAAATCTGTATGATACTTTGACCCAAGTATTAAATGATTCCAAAGTGTGACAGAAGGAAGTCAGAGAATTAATCAAAAAGAAGACAAGGCATTAAAGGCAATCTGAAGACTGAATATGGATGAGACAATCTAAAGGGATAGAAATAAAAGCATCACATGGATTTCTAAAGTATATCATAAGGGGTTCCAAAGCCTGGGACTGCCCCCCAGAATCAGAAGTGATATGAAGTTATGACAGAATCATAAGAAACCTCTTTCTTGGAAAAAATAGGTGAGATCCAGAAAATGGAGGGAGGGGGGAAGAAACCCTCAGAAAATATTTACCAAGAAGCAATACCAGTCTAAAGAGTTTAAGCAGAAAAACAGTATCCTAGGGTCTCCAGTCCAAGCCAGCCAAACGATCTTGCCACGCCTCCCACCAAGACTTCATCAAAATGGAACACGCTATGGAAACCATGATGTTCATGTTTCATAAATTTACTAGTGATAAAGGCTACTTAGCAAAGGAGGACCTGAGAATACTCATGGAAAAGGAGTTCCCTGGACTTTTGGAAAATCAAAAAGAATCTCTGACCGTAGACAAAATAATGAAGGACCTGGATGAGTGCCAAGACAGCAGAGTGGGCTTCCAGAACTTCTATAAGCTAACTGTCAAGCTCACCACAGCATGCAATGACATTTGTAATACACATGAAGCAGAAGGAAAGGAAGTAGGCAGCACTGAGCAGTTACTTCCACCCTGATAACAGTTCTCCCAATGAGTTGCTTAAGACATAAGTGCCCCACAGATTCCCCCTGTATGAAATTTCATGAGCAGATTGGGACCCTTAACAAATATACAAATACCCTACCTAGTCTGGCTCAGAGGATAGAGCACTGGCATTCAGACTGAAGGGCCATGGGACGATTCTGGTCAAGGGCACATACCTCAGTTGAAGGCTCTATCCCCAGTCCCGGTTGGGGCATAAGGCAGGGCAGAGCCAATCTATGTGTTTCTCTCACATTGATGTTTCTATCTATCTCTCCCCCTCCCTTCCACTCTCTCTAAAAATCAATGGAAAAATATCCTCAGGTGAGGATTAACGATGTGTGTGTGTGTGTGTGTGTGTGTGTGTGTGTGTGTAAAACCCCAGCCCATTCAACAGGAGAAAGAATGCCACATGGTCTCACTCATTTATGGATAATTAAGACCATTATAAACTGATGAACAAAAATAGATACAGAGGCAGAGGAACATCAAACAGACTGTGAAACTATAGCAGGAAGTCCGGGGGGGGGGGGGGGGGATGGAGGGTAAGAGATCAACCGAAGGACTTGTATGCATGCATATAAGCATAACCAATAGACACAAGACACTGGGGGGTAGGGGAGGCCAGGGGAAGGTCAAGGGGAGAAGAAAAAAGGAGACATATGTAATACTCTTTGTAATACTTTAAGCAAAAAAATTAATAAATAAAATAAAGCCAGATAAGCTTTTGATTTTTATATTGCTTGTATCCCCTTGCCCTCAAACAAGTTTCTTTCTTAGTAAAACACAAATTATCAGTATCCTATCAGTGTCTCACAGAAATAGTTAATGTTCGCCCTAACCGGTTTGGCTCAGTGGATAGAGCGTCGGCCTGCGGACTCAAGGGTCCAGGGTTCGATTCCGGTCAAGGGCATGTACCTGGGTTGCGGGCACATACCCAGTAGGGAGTGTGCAGGAGGCAGCTGATCGATGTTTCTCTCTCATCAATGTTTCTAACTCTCTATCCCCCTCCCTTCCTCTCTGTAAAAATCAATAAAATATATTTTTTTAAAAATAGTTAATGTTCAAAATATTTGTTCTAAGAACAAACTGTGCCTCTGGGAGTCACCATAAAACTAGAAACAACCTTTAGGGTATATAATAACTTAAAACATTAATTAAGGAGAGAAATAAGTGAAGAAAATAGATAACAGGCCTAAAAAATAGTATCCCGGTAAGTTATAAATTAAATGATAAAACAGAGGTGTATTTATAAATGGCTGTATCACCAATCCACATTCAATAGGCAATGCTTTGTTATTGCTTTAAGTTTTTAAAAAAGATATTTGTTGATACATTAATAATCAGTATTAACCTACTGAACATAACTTTGGAGTGATCATATTATACCTGACAGGAACTATACCAGTAAAAGTACAATTATGATCTGGGAGAAGTGAAATTTTCAACTTGATTCTATCTGGACAGTAGCTATAATACACAAAGAATTTATACTGTGCTTACTGTGATGGGAGCAGCAAAATAAATAATTCATTATTCAAATAGAAGAGTGGTTAACATTTTCCCATGAATCTATTTTAAGCCAACATGAAACTTAGTGGGCATGTGAAATTAGTTATGCTGATAATATTTGTTTTGGCTTGACTTCTCCATGAGTAAGACAGGGTTTTTACATTTTATATTATTTATTTCCTGTATGTTATCTATAATAATGGATATGATAAATGACCTTGTAACATGAGACAAGGTTTCCTATAAAAAACAGGAGTCTTCATTTTGAAATCTGTTGGTATAACAATGTCAGTGGGATTTGTTACAAATAACTCAACTCGAAAAAATTAGAGACTGAAACAGTAAAATAAACACACGGTGCATCTCGAGCACAGATATGGACTTAAAAAGAGTGATGACACCTCTCAGGCTAGTAAGACACTTATCCGTTTGACTATACTAACAGTTTAAGAAAGAGAATGTCCTCACAAATGAGGTTTACTGATGTGAACACACATAAAGAGTGTGGGGAGTGAGAGACAACATAATCAGTCTAGTAAGAGAAGCAGCTCTGGCAATCAATCAATCAATTAATCCATCTTCCTTCTCTCTTGTGAGAACAGTTAGCATGCAGATTTGGACATGGTTGACACTCTTAATATACCTGACCAATCTCTTATTTTTTAAAGGTTAACTGTTAATGAAATAAGAGTTTGAGATTAATCTAAATAAAAGTAGGGTCTCTAAATGTTTCTTTCTATTACCTATGAAACTAAGCAATTTTGGGTAAGATTAGCTCTGATAATAATATGTAGATGGTATCTGTTTCCAGCTTTGGTGATAGGAAGATTCTATAACCAAAGGTAATAAAAGATGCAATCACCCTAACATGATATGTTCTTGATATGAGTCATTTATCCATTGAAAAACTGGCATTTTCAGAGACTAAAGTAAGAATGTGTCAGGCTCATGCTCATATTGCCATATATACTGAGAAGACATTCATTATTGAGAATAATCTAGTGACTAAAGAAATCAAAATGCATGAGTATATTTCACTGGACTCTTCTCACTACAGATCTAAAAAATGATTAAAATACTGATTTAAAAACTTACTGAAGTGATCAGGTGATCCCAGGGTTGAAAACACACAAGTCAAGAACTGAAGTCGGACTTGAACTTCAGCACTGTGGCTATACCTACATACAAAAAGTCATTAAAATAATTAACCCTATTTCTTAATTACTTTTAAAGATTTAATGACCCTAATCTTAAATTATACAAAGAAGTAAAATTCATTTTCATAATTACTAAATATTTTTATTACATAACTTTGGTTACACAAAAGGTCATACAGTCAAATGTTATGTTTGAGATTTATGTTATTTAATAAATTATAAAAATCTCTAAACTATTAGAAAATGTACTTTCAAATTAGATGATCAGAAAGTACATAAGAACCCAACAGTGGAACAAATACATTTTGAAATTATGCAACATGCACATAAATTACAAGTTAAAAAAAAACTATTCTAGAAATTGCATGTTTCATTATCACTGTCCTTTCAATGATACAACCTTATTCCTTAAACAAGAAACGCTAGTAAAATATCAATTCCATAAATCAAGTTCTTGAGGAATTCGGCTGATACACAACTGACACTTTTGAATGTTATTTCAAATCTAAATAACTATAATTCATGTGTAAAAAATTCAATTGTTAATTTAAGAATTGCTTTGGAAGCTTATTAAGTAGGTAATTTTGCATGGTTTTCTGGGAATTCAATTTGTAGGCATTTGAAAAGAAACAGCTTTTTAAAAATGCTGGATGAGCCCTAACCAGTTTGGCTCAGTGGATGGAGCATTGGCCTGCGGACTGAGGGGTCCCGGGTTTGATTCAGGTCAAGGGCGTGTGCCTTGGTTGTGGGCACATCCCCAGTGGGAGGTGTGCAGGAGGCAACTGATAGATGTTTCTCTCTCATCGATGTTTCTAACTCTCTATCCCTCTCCCTTCCTCTCTGTAAAAAAATCAATTAAATATATTTTTAAAAAATGCTGGATGAGGAAACATAAGAGGTGGTCTGAAGAGCTATAGACAGAGGGCCAGATTATAGCCAGCCTGAATGTCAGATAGAAGAGGTTGGTATTGAAATGGGTGGAAGTCACTGAACGATATTGGGGGGAGAAAAAGTTAATGATCAGGTTTTTATTTTAGGATTCCTTTAGCAACCCTGTGAACTGGACACTGAACAAAGTGGTATCACAAAATTCTAGTACTACAAGCACCTGAGCACTCAACCAATGAAACTGAGCACTCAATCAATGAAACAAAGTCAATGAGTTCTTATCTCTATGTTACAAAACAAAAGTCTGATTGTAGATGAATTGCCCAAATTACTTTGCCAACAAAAGGCAGCAACCAGCCTGAGCCCTGATCCACAATCCAGTTTACAGAGTCAGAGCCTCTTAAATCAATTTCCAATAATCTTTAAGTACAGATTATTTTAAGTTTCCCCAAATTAGTTTCAAAAATTTCATTAAATTCATTGTTACATTTTAAAGTTAAAGTTTTTCTACAGATTGAGTTTGCTGGATATAGCTTTACTAAATTGTCTCATTAATACTGGCCAAAAAAAAAAAAAAAGAGAGAGAGAAGAGGGGGAACACTGCTTCATTATTGTTGCAGTGCCCTTTGTAAAGATGAAAGTACATGTGGCAAAGTGGCTGAAGTGGGGGAGGTTGGAATATAATAAACCACTCACAGACTAAAATGCTATCTAAATAGAATTCAAGGACAGCTATTAATAGTTTCTCACCCTTTTCTAATAGGACACATTTTGTAGCAGAGGCCTTGAAGTACTCTGAGACTAAGTCTTAAGGACCTTGATCACAGACATAAAAGGTGAAGAAAGTCCTGTTCTTTACAAATTGCTTGAATACTTTATTTCTTGAATACTTTCTTCCCTATACTCGCAAATCAGAGTGAGACCCATAACCCTAGGAAGCATGGATCCAGTCCATCACCCATTCTTCAGTTTCCACAGAACCATTGACTCTATCTACACGTCTGTAACCCAATGAACAAGTAGAAAATAATGTGCTAGGAACTCAGTATGCTTTACCAAAGAGGAGCAAATATAAAACTGTTTTATAGCCTGAAGGAACAAAGGAGTTATACTGAAATAGTAGAGACGACGTCTCTCTGCTCTAAGGTTTTATTCTCTAAAAATGCCAGGCAACAAAGCTGATTGGATGATTGGAAAGATGCTCTGGTGTACCTACGGAAATATGAAACTCATCTCCAAAGAGCACTATTCCTCTATTTTTTTTTTTTTATCACAGAATCAATGGTTCTACTAACAAAGTGACAACCCTGTAGACAATGCTGTAAACAACCAAGTTTCAGACCTGTATTTATTTTTTGTCACTTAATGTTGGGACTTTCACTTTTTTAGGGTAATTCATCTGTTTTCCACTCCCCTCTCTTAAGCACCCCATCCCTTCTCTTTAAGCCCACAGGCTGTGGTTGTGGTAGGAGCTCTTTTGTAACTTAAGGTTTATTTCTCTTCTGATAGGTAACTTGAATTCTCTCTCTCCTGAAAATGCTGAGGATGTGGGTCACATGTGATTTAATTTCTGCTCCTTTTTTATCTTATAGATTTTATAGAGGATGTATGGAGATGTTCACATTCAGGCCATAATTATCCTTGACCTCTGCTTCAAGAAGAAAAATTAAAGGAGAACACAGACTATGAAGAACACTTAGAATTTTTTTAAAAATATATTTTATTGGTTTTTTACAGAGAGGAAGGGAGAGGGATAGAGAGTTAGAAACATCGATGAGAGAAACATCGATCAGCTGCCTCCTGCACACTCCCCACTGGGGATATGCCCGCAACCAAGGTACATGCCCTTGACCAGAATCGAACCTGGGACCCTTGAGTCCGCAGGCCGACGCTCTACCTGCTGAGCCAAACCGGTTAGGGCAACACTTAGAATTTTAATAGGATTTAACGAGACTGCATCTTGCGTAGTGGTAACTTTATAAGCAAAACTATGGAATAGAGTAAATTTAGGGAAATATCTAAAAAATAATTTGATAGGCTTGTAGAATAGGATACCTTAAGAAATCATTGAACAATAAAATAGGAAATGCTGACTGAGTTTAGATTTTAGAGGGCCCAGAAAATAGGCTGTAAAAAACTGGTATTTATTTTTTATGCAGGGGAAAATCTACATGGGCTAAGGCACAAGTTTCTTGTTTGCTTTAGCAAAGTAATCACAATTTATAGATACTCTACTATGTGCCAGATATTACTTACTAAATTATTTTATTTACTCCTTACAAAAATTCATAAGGTAAGTAAATGAAATTTATTAGAGAAGTAAACAACTGAAATAAGGCCAAAGCAAGAGATTCGTAATCTAAATACATGTCTGTATGGTTTTTAAAACTCATGAGCTTTCCAACAATATCATACTGACTTCCTAATTTAATAAAGATAAGAAATTTACAATCACAGGGGCAGATTTAGGCAAGAAGACTGATCCAGAGGTTGGTTAAAAGAACTGGAACAGTGTTTGTGGTAATGTCAACTTGTGAAAAGACATGAAATATATTTTAGCATTAAGGTAACTAGAGATTGATTACAGTACAAGGGAACACTCAAGAACAGGAATTATAGAAAACAGACTGTTTCCTTGTTCATAAAATGTGTGTCTATAAAGTGAATTATAGAAACCCTGGCTACACTATTTTATTTTTCTGGCTCCACTATTTATAAAATGTGTGACCTTGGGCAAGTTATTTACCTCAGAGCTTAAATGTTTTTGTTTTTAAAATGCAACTACCTACCTCAAAAGGGTTGTTGTATATCTTGAAGTTAATACTTATTATTTAAATAACATCTAGCACACAATATCAATGAACACTAGCTATTTTTATCAACATCATCATCATTATTCATGTTTGGAAATAAAAGAATCCCCAAAAAATCCTTATGTGGAAAAAAATAAGTAAATTTATTTTTGAAGGTGGATAAGTATGTATGCTTTAAAGGTCTGTGACTTTTCTGAACACTTTTCCAGTCAACTCAGCTTCCATCTATGCGGAAGTTTTCTGTGTGTATATCTTCTCAGTAAATACTGTGCTATTTCTCATATTTACTAATATGCTGATATTAACAACAAGCTGGTTTCCTCAATTAGACCATCAGTCCCCATCAATTGACTCACAAGCAGTAACCTATGAATTTAAATGTTTACTTCTGGGCAGGAATTTCTCTGTAAGCACAGTTTTAAATACAGCTATATCACTGACCAATTTCTACCAATTCTTATCCAGAGTCAGTTCAACATATCCAGAGAACATTTTTAATGAGGAAATATTAACCAGTTATACCATCAGTTTTTAAACTTTCCACACATGTCCTAAACTTTTTAAACTAGTATCCAATTAAAGTAATAAAGGGAAATGTTTTAAATTAATTATATGTTAAATATATTTTTTTGAAAGTAAATATTTAAAAATTTTGGAGTCAATGCCCCTAATACATTAAGACACGGATACTGATGATTTCTGGGGAAAATTTACTTTTAGTTCCTGAAAACAACTTCAAACAGAAGTCAATAGTGAAGGTTAACCATGACCAAGTTATAAAAGATTAAGAATTACAAAAATAACTTTATGAAATACAACTTTAAAAAATCCTTTCTTTCTCTTAAATTTTTCACATTTTTTTTATTTACTATATAAAAGAAGTAGAAACACTGGAAAATTATCTTTCAGGGGACAATCAAGAGTTAAACATAACTAACCTAATTAAGGGATACTTACAGTGCATGTTTTTGCCTTCCTTCTCTTACAGACTGAATATAGTATACCAAATTATCAAAGAAAAGCTTCATCATATTCAGTTCTTTTTCTGCCCACCTGGACCAATTGAAAGAAAAAATAATTTTAAAGCCATAAGGTAAGATAGTAAATCTACTATAGAATGGGAAAAAAAAAAAAAAAAATATATATATATATATATATATATATATATATATATATTAAAATCTTCAAATACGAAATCTTTTCATTACCAAAACTTACACCTTAATTTTTATTAAAGTATCAATTTTGTTTTATTTTATTGCTTAAAGTATTACAAATAGTAGTATGTGTCTTTTTTTCTCCCACTGACATCCCCCGCCCCACACTTGCCTTCCCCCCTTCCCCCTCCCCCCTCCAGTGTCTTGCATCCATTGGTTATGCTTATATGCATGCATACAAGTCCTTCGGTTGATTTCTTACCCCCCCCCCCAACCCTCCCCTGCCTTCCCGTTATAGTTTGACAGTCTGTTCGATGCTTCTTTGCCTCTGTATCTATTTTTGTTCATCAGTTTATAATGTCTTTAAATATCAAAATACTCAATCCTTGTGAAGTGGGAAAATGTCTAGTACAGTGCTAATTATAAATGGTTATCATGAATATTAAAAATGTCTGACACAGTTCATTTAAGAATAGACTGCATGCATTGGTCATTATTTAGCAGAATTTAGTAGAGGGCCTGACATAAAACACATACAACATAAAATTACTAAACCAGAAAATTTTACTATCAATATGTAATCTGCTTATTTTTTAACAATTTTTAAAACTCAAATAAATATTCAGGTATTAAACTCCAAAGTAGGGGGAAAAAGAAATATTGATAAATATAATTAAAGATCCCAGGATCTTTAACTTTCATAACTAACAATCCATCTTACACAATATTTACTAACAATACACCTGCGAAAATGTATAGATATAAAAGGATTAAAACTCCCAAACTTCTAATGTAGTTTAAATCATTTTTGCTATATAGTTCTCTTTTCAAAATAAGTTACTCTCACTTTGCCAGTCATTTAATGAAGATCAAGTGGTAGAAAGAAAACCTAAAACTTAAGGCTTAAAACCAGTTCTAACAGACTTGCTCCACAGCTTTGGGCAAGTAACCTGACCTCTTGAAGTCTGTTTGCTGGTTACCTGAACATTTACTAAGAGAATCAGGGACAACTTCCAATTTTAATAAATGGCCCTAAGAGTTTAACAGATAATATTCACCAATGTTGAGGGCTGCTGCACATAACAGATTCACAATAAATAGTTTTTGTTACTACTGATACTAAATAATCATAAGGGTTCTGCTAAGATTTAGGATACCAGTCTCATGTTAGAGACCCAGTGATCTGTCATTAACTGAGCTTATTTACATTTAATTTAAAGAACAAGCTCAAAGAGTTTCAACTCAATATATTTAACTTCAGGTACTAGATAAGTAACTATATATTCAGAGTTTGCCTCTTCTACAAGAATGTTACCCTTTCTTCCTCCTTAATAATAACCTTCTCAAATAGCCACAATATGTCAACAATGTGCCCAAGTGAATCCCTTTCATACTTTAGAAATTTTGTGATTCAGCCTTTTAAACATTATGGGAAGTGTCAATGAAGTAAGACTCATGCTATTCTTGTATTTTAAGGATGCTAAAAGTTTCCCTCTGTTTAGCAGCTCAAGGACCTTCCTTGCATTCATAATCTAGAATGATCACTAGAGTCATATTGCAATATTAACCAAAGACTTTCTAAGATGCTTTTAAAAAAAATAGAGGTTCATGTTAAATAGATCTCCTTTAAAAGAGCAATAAATAAGCAAGAGCTATAACTCAGGAGAACTATAATGTAGACTTCCAAGAATTTTTAAAATGGTATTCATTTTGAAAGCAAGCAAAGTGCAAGCGCTCTTACCATCTAATCTTAGGTTTGAGAAGCTAACTAGGTAAAAAGCCATCCTACTTGACTTCAAAAATGAATCCTTCAACAAATCTAATTTTTCCTAAAGTTTAAATGTCTCTGAAATCTCTCCAAAAGTCTATTTTGAATAAGCACCATATTCTTATAGATTAATGAAGTGCTTGTGATAGCTAACTTTCTCTAGAATGTTACAAAAACTAGATCAATTTCACAAAGATTTTTTTGAAAGACTTCTTTATTAATAGGATGGAGTCAAGATTACCCCAACATGATATAATGTCTAGAACCAATTCCTAGGCACAGGAAAAATAAAAGACATCCTAGAGTGTTCATTTTAGTGGGGATCTTCTTCAGGAGTTCTTTGGTATGGCCAGGCATACTAAAATTACAGCACTAATTGCTACAACATTTTTCTCTAACTATAAAGAATACAAAAGTCAGATTTTCCTACTGATGGGAATATAATTTCCATGGAGTTAAGTGGAAGAGATAGCACTCTTAAAAATCAAAGAAAACATTTGAACCACATGAAAGTCAAAATTTTCTGGTACAGAATAAAAATCAGTAAGTTATTAAAAACCTTGTTTGATAACTATGATTTGAAAAAAGATCTTTAAAATGAAAACAAATTTTTTTTATTTACTTACATTGTAATCCAATGTGTATCATAACTACTCCCAAACTGCTGAAATGTACCAAACAGTTTTGGAAGAAGCCGAAGTGAAATTACAACTGACCTGAAACAGCAAAAACAGATATTTATAGAATAAACTAATTTTAACTACTATCAGTAATTCTAGCTTTTTACAGAAATTCAACTATTTTTAAGATCTTAAATGCAAAAGAATTCAATGAATTTACAATATATTTCTTACACAAACATTAAAATTTTTTCTACTGAAATGGGGCAAGAAATCAAGTTTTAAAATTCCAATCCAAGACTTTCAAAGTAAAATACACTATAAGTATCTGAGTATAAAAGCAAGTGAAAAGCATTTAAAGGTAATTTGGTTGTTTCTTTTTCTCCCCATGAAAGTACATATTCTTTAACAAGTCATGGGGGCTCTAAGAATTTAATTAAGGAAAATAGAAAGCAGAAACCAGAGTGGGGCTTCTCAAAGTTTAATGTGCACTTCATTCACCTGAGGGAATTTTGTTAAAATACAAATTCTGATTCAGTAGGTCTAAGGTAGGTTCAGAAATTTTGCATTTATAACAAGATCACCAGTGACAAACTGTTGGGTTTATGGACCACATTCTGAGAAACAATAATCAAGAGATGACATTTATTAAAAACTATACAAATGATCACTTTCTCCCTAATTTTCAGCCAAGTTGAGATTCACTGCATTAGGAACCATGTTAACAATGAAAGCACACCATATACCTCAAGTATGAAGGAGCAAAAGATTAATAGGAAAGCTCACACAAGTACATCTGAGTATGCCTATCTTCGTATAAGGGAGATATTGGCATACAAATCCCAGTAGTCTTAGTACGTAAGGAGATCGGCTGCATGAGCCTTCAAAGAAGGACAAACTCTAATGAGATACTGAATTTTTTTTTTTTTAAGCTCGGGAGCCAATATAGCTTCTTGAAAAAATTTTTTTACAAAGTTGGCACCCTAACCACAAGTCTGGTGTACAAGTTAGTCCTCCAAAATGCCTACTCTTTGAGAAGGGTACCAGGGATAGCAGAGTAACAGGTGTGAGTGGGAAACAGTGGTGGAATACTGAGTAGCAGAAATTAGAAAAAATTATCTATGCATGAAATCCAAAGTACTTAGATTGGACTACAAAGCCCTGTGTTATAAGTCCTTACTCCTATCAGTCTATTTCCTTCAGATCTTTCTCTTTGCTATCCCTTCAACACACATAAGCACATTACTGGTAGAGGCCTTCACTTTTGCCTGTACTTGGAAATGCTCTTTACCTAAATATATATCTACAGGACTACTCCTTCTCTTACTTTATTCATGTTTCCTCAACAGTCATCAGAAAAGATGACCAGGATAATTCTCTATTAAATAACACCCTTGAATTGAATCTCTTTATTCCTCTTGATTTCTTCCCATTTTTCTTCATCATCTAAAAAATATTCCTTTATTTTAATGTGTCCATCATTAATATGTGCTCAATGAGAGCAAATACTATCTTATTAAAATTCTCTGCATATGGTGCACACTGAACATATACTTACTAGGTGTATCGGTTAACAATGTGGATTTTGTAATCAGAGAAAACATGGTAATTTCAAAAGAAACATCAAAAGTGCTTTATTCAAAGTAATGTCCATCGCTAGCTACACATTTCCTCCTTCTTTCAGGTAATTTGTGGATACCGTCCCAATAGAACTTTTGTTTTGAGGCAAACCACTCAGAGACCCAATTTTCCACTTCTTCGTACGTTTTGAGGTGATGCTCAGAAAGTGCGTGTGCCATCGATCAGAACAAGTGGTAATCTGAAGGAGGAAGGTCTGGTGAATACAGCTCGTGGGTTAATACTTCCCAGGCAAGATCTTTTAACATGTCTTTAACTGGTTTTGAAGTGTGTGATGGTGTGTCATCATGAAGCAAAATTACTTTGCCTTGTCTTCTGGCACATTCTGGTCATTTCACGATCAAAGCATGGTTCAAATTCATTATTTGTTGTCGGCAGCAATCAGCATTAACAGTTTCACCTGGTTTTAGAAGCTCGTAATACACCACACCTTCCTGATCTCACCAAATGCAGAGCATTGTCTTCTTTCCGAAGCGATTTGGTTTGCACTCGATGTTGACCTGGATCAACCCATGATCTTGTGCATTTGGGATTCTCAAAATAAATCCACTTTTCATCACCAGTCATAATTTGATGCAAAAAAGACTTTCTTTCGTGCCTTTGAAGCCACATTTGACTGATGACTTTTCGGTTTTCCATTTGTCTTCCGTTCAATTGGTGTGGCACCCATTTTCCTACCTTTAAGATGTTTCCCATTGATTGTAATCAGATCGGAATTGTTTGCTGAGCAATGTTTTATCTTTCTGCAAGTTGTTTTTGAGTATGACAAGCATCTTCATCCAATAATGCTTTTAATTGTTGGTTTTTAAACTTTTTTGATTGACCTGGACGTGCTTTGTCTTTGACATCGAAATCATCACTTTTAAAGCGTTTAAAACAGCGTTCACAAGTATCTTGAGATGCAGCATGTTCACCATAAGCTTCCTGAAGTATTTAGCAGCACTTTTCTTCAAAATAATGAATTAAAACTTCTTGCAAATGCTTTTTTTGGCACGAAATTCGACATTTTTAAGCATAAAAATATTTATGATGTTAACACCTTCAGAAAATTTAACATATGAAGTTTTCAAGCTTGTTGTCAATACAACAACATAGCATAATATCAAATCGCATATATATCAACATATGTGTAACTCCATCTATTGGAAAAAATCCGCATTATTAGCCAGTACTCCTAGTAAATAATGAACCAGCAAAGAACGTAAAAGCAAGATTCTCAAGGAAGGAGATGAGGAACTTTTTATTTATGTATTTAAATCCTCACCCAAGGATATGTTTTTCTTGATTCAGAGAGAGAGAGGGAGAGAGGGAGAGCGAGAGAGATCGGTTACATGCCCAAACAGGGGATCCAACCCACAACCTAGGTATGTGCCCTAACAGGAATTGAACCCACAACCTCTTTGGTGTATGGGACAACAGTCTAACCATCTGAGCCCCACCCAATCAGGGTGATGACCAACTTTTTAAATGCTATATAACTGTCATGAAGAACCTGGGCAAAAAAAAAAAAAAAAATACTACTGGATAACAAAATAAAACAGAATGTTAGAATGTTAGAGGATCAAACCTACATTGGTAAAGATTAAGGAGTACATAGTGAGGTAATGAGGACAGGTAGTGCCTGGGATATCCGCACTATAAAGTACAATATAAATATTCTTCGAATATTTAAAAACATTAACATTCTAAAGTATATTTTTAAAATATGACTGTCGCCGAAACCGGTTTGGCTCAGTGGATAGAGCGTCGGTCTGTGGACTGAAAGGTCCCAGGTTCGATTCCGGTCAAGGGCATGTACCTGGGTTGCAGGCACATCCCCAGTGGGAGATGTGCAGGAGGCAGCTGATCGGTGTTTCTTACTCTCTATCTCTCTCCCTTCCTCTCTGTAAAAAATCAATAGAATATATTTTTTAAAAAAAATTTTCTTAAAAAAATATGACTGTCAAGCCCTAACCGGTTTGGCTCAGTGGATAGAGTGTCAGCCTGCGGACTGAAAGGTCCCAGGTTCGATTCTGGCCAAGGGCATATACCTTGATTGCGGGCACATCCCCAGTAGGAGGTGTGCAGGAGGCAGCTGATGGTTTTTCTCTCTCATCAATGTTTCTAACTCTCTATCCCTCTCTCTTCCTCTCTGTAAAAAATCAATAAAATATATTTAAAAATAAAAAATAAAATAGGACTGTCAAAAACTGTCAGTTTCTTAAAACCCCATGAGACTACAATTCCATTTTTAGGTAGTTGATTAAAAGGAAAAAAATATGTAGGTCTATACATATTTTTAAAACTATTTTTTAAATATTAAAATGTTTAATATTTTTCTGCAAGTTGCATAGTGTTTGGAAAAACAGGCCATGGAGAATGAAGGGGAATTTCAGATTCTTTAACTAAAATCCTTTGTCAAATTTCAGAAACATTTGTGGTTTTTCCTAAGAATCTATAATAATAAAAGAGTAATATGCTAAATAGACCGAATGCCCTTTCGGATGAAGCCGAGAACGTAGCAAAGCCCGGTTCCCAGGTGCCTGCCGGCGGCCGGAGCAGGGAAACTCGGGTCCTGGGTGCCAGAGGGAAGTTGGTGGCAGCAGCCAGGGGAAGAAAGGCCTACTCTTACACGAACTTTCGTGCACTGGGCCTCTGGTTAACATATAAAACACTAGACCTAAGCCAGTGATTTTCATCCTTTTTCATCTCATGACACACATAAACTAGTTACTAAAATTCTGTGGCACAGCTAAAGAGTATACTTTTGCCAATCTGACAAAAAAATGCACATAGTTTTTGATTCAGTCACACCAGATGGCTATTGTTGTGTTGGTTATTGTCATTTTTTGACAATCTAAGGGAAAAGAAATCGGTGCCCCATACTCAGCTATTGCATGTTTTCAAAATTCTTGTTAAGTGGACATTGGTTGAGTGAATAATGGTGTGGTTCATGTAAAAGAACCAAAACCAGAAATTTGGATAGAAATGAGACTCATCTTCCCTCTACTCTTCCCTGAAGAGGAATGTTTTTCTCCACAATTTATTTATACCCATTAAATTATCAAGAAATGATTACATATTAAATTACTAAAACATTTTTTTTAATATTTTTTATTGATTTTTTACAGAGAGGAAGGGAGAGAGATAGTTAGAAACATCGATGAGAGAGAAACATCGATCAGCTGCCTCCTGCACATCTCCTACTGGGGATGTGCCCGCAACCAAGGTACATGCCCTTGACCGGAATCGAACCTGGGACCTTTCAATCCGCAGGCCGACGCTCTATCCACTGAGCCAAACTGGTTTCGGCTACTAAAACATTTTTTAAAGTTTTTCCTGACTATCAAAAAATTTTTCAAATTTTCTCCTTAAAAATTTTCCAAGAATATAGAAGTCACACATTTTATGTGCTATACATTTATTTTAATTTTAATATATTTTTGTTGATTTGAGAGAGGCAGGGAAAGGATGAGACA